CTTCCTCCTGTCATGGGAGTGGTGGTGACACCTCTGTCTGTCGTTTAACCCAGCCCTGCACTTCCTCCCCTCAAGGTATAGGAGGCCCAGGAGGAGCATGGCAGGGTGGGGGTCATGAAAAGCAGGGGCCACTCATTAGGTTAGTGACCTTGAAGAGGCCACCTTGTGCACTGAGCCCTTGTGCTCAGTCACCTCATATACAGAATGGGTGATGCTGTTTCACGGGTCCGTTGGGACCAGGGCAGATGGGAAGTGTGCACGTTTCTCTGAGGGGCCCACTGCGGAATGCGGTGGACCAGCCCCGCCAGGAGGGCTGTATTCACCTCCCCCCATGCAGAAAGCCTGGCATGCCTGGGGCATCCTCGGAGGCCAAGACCCCGTCAGGAGTGGATGTGGGTTGGGTCCGTACTTCCTTCCTTGTGTCTTTTGCCCTAATTACCTGCTCCTTCTAATTACAGAAATAAGATATGGTTTAGAGGGAAGGAGGAGGTGGAGAGAGCTGAGGAGGGACAAAGCCAGGGATGGTGGTCCTCGAAACATGCTCCCCACAAAGATGGACCTCAGACCGAACTGTTAGTCCGCTCAAGTGGCCGGAATAAGTACCCCAGCGTGGAGGGCTCAGACAACAGGTGTTTATTTTTTCCCAGTCCTGGAGGCTGGAAGTCTGAGATCAAGGTGCGGGTAGGGCTGGTTTCTCCCGAGGCCTCTCGCCTTGGCGTGTAGATGGGGCCTTCTTCCTGTGTCCTCACATGGTTGTCCCTCTGTGTGTTTGTGTGCCAATCTCTTCCTCTCATGAGGACACCGATCATGTTGAATCAGGGCCCGTCCACCCAAGTGACTTTGCTTCACCTCAGTCACTTCTATAAAGGCCCCATCTCTAAGGAAAGTCCCATTCTGAGATGCTAGGGGTCAGGACTTCAACATAATGGATTTTGGGGGACACAATTCAGCCCCCATGACAAGCACAGTTTCCAGAAATTTCTTAGTTCACTGGACTCTTTCTCTACTTGCCCACTTAATGCTTCTTTGACCGGAGCCTGTACAGGCTTGTTTTGGCCCGGGCTTAGCTCCTGTGGCATGATCTGTTAGTCCTGTGGGATGCTCCCCACGCCCATGTCTGAGCACCGCTGCAGCAGGGAGACGGGTGGGGACGGCCTGCCGCTGGGGCTTGCACAAGCCTTTGCCGCCACAGGACATAGGCATCTCCAATACCGATGCCCTACTGCTAACACTCCAAAGGCAGGCTCTGCCACGTGGCCGAGTGGAAAGGGAACTCGGAAATGACCGGAGAAGGTAGGCTCTGGCTGGGCTGCACAGATTTGCCCTTGTGCCCTAAGAGACTGGAAAATGCGTGTGCTGTGGGGCTGGAGAGGCTGCCTCTGGGGATTGATTTGGGGTCCCCTGGTCTTGGTCTCGGAGGTCTAGCTCAGGGCCCTGGCCCTGCCTTCTGAGCCTTTCCAAGCCTCACCTGCAAAGTAATGTCAACACAAATAAGACTTGAAGCTTTGTAGATTTAAGCAAAGAATTTTTTTAATTGGGGCCAACTGAGGACGTGCCTGAGAGCAGAGCTCCGAGAAGCTTGAAACAGGGTCCGACTTAAGGAGAGCGAGGGGAAGCTTGTAGGCAGGAGGACCAAGAGAAAGACAGCTGTGCACAGCGGTTTCGGTGAGTTACACACATTCAAGGACTAAGTTTTATATCAGATGGAGAGAATGTTCAGATAAGATAGGGACATCAGGCGCCTGGAGCTGGGAGTGGTGGGAAGGGGTCTGGAAGCAATTATCTCTACGTATTTATCAGGATGTAGAAAGGTCAGACGCTGCCTTCTACAATCACTTATCTTTTTAACTGGAACTGTTGGGAATATATGTGGCCAGTCCCACGGAAGACCTTGGTTAGGAATGACCTCTCACCTTTGAGAGCCCCCTGAGCCCCAAGGTGGACTTCTTCAGCGGGGCCTCTTGATCAGTCCCTTGGAAGGTCTTTACATTTTCCCTTAGAAGTCCCAGGACAGAAGGGGCCTTCTCCAGCAGAACTGCATTTGGAAGATGCCGGAAGCATGGTACCCTGCTCTTTTCGGTTTTTAAAAATTTTTTAAATTGATTTTAGCATGCCAGTGTGGCTCAGTGGTTGAACATCGACCCATGCACCAAGAGGTCACCAATTCGATTCCTGGTTGAGGCATATGCCCAGGGTGTGGGCCACATCCCCAGTGCGGGACGTGCAGGAGGTGTCCAGTCGATGTTCTCTGTCATCAATGTTTCTCTCTCTCTCTCTCCCTCTCCCCTCCTCTCTCTCTCTCAAATCAATAAAGGAAAAAAAATTTTTTTTTTTGGTACGTGCCCCTAGCAGGAACCGAACCCGGGACTCTCTGGTCCACAGGCCAGTGCTCCAACCGCTGAGCCAAACCGGCCAGAGCTAGAAAGAAAGATTTTTAAAATTGATTTGAGAGAGAGAGAGGAAGGGAGAGAGAGAGAAACATCGATGTGAGAGAAAGATCTCTCAGTTGCCTCCTGCATGTGTTCCCCTGGTCACTGATCAAGTTGGAACAGCTCGGACACACTTTTCCTTTCTCAGTGAGAGCAATCCTCGTGCTGATCGGGTGGTGCCTGGCTCCCAGGGCGCCACCTGGATGGAGCTCAGCCGGAGGTGCTTCGTGGTCAGTGTGGCGCAGATTCGTGTCAGCCGGATGTCTGGGAGTCGGGGCTTCAGGGCGGAAGTTCTCAAACTGCTCTTTGGCCAAAGCACGCTGCTCGAGGTCTCAGGCAGGCGGCAGCCTGTGGGCTGCTGCCTTCCGCGGGCAGAGAAAACGTTTTACAAAACAGAAGGGAGCAGAACCTTGACCCTGCTTTTGGATTCGTTTCTGGACTCAAGTCCACGGTACGTGTTAGTGGTCGAGGAGAACATGTCAGTGTGACCAGCAACAGAGGGGGTAGCCTTAGCTCAAAACCCATTTAAATACGGTGTCACCGAAACAGGAAGGCAAGACCACAGGAAGGCCCGGAAGACACTCTCTGGGAGGGCGGTGCGAGGTGGCTCAGTTTGGGGCCTTCAGAAATCAGCCTCATTCTCTGACTCGTCTGGCCCATCTGTGCAGAAGGAGGTTGGCTGGTGGCAGCAGGTGCGCTGAGTGGATCCAGGCTCCTTGGCTCCAGTAGCTGGGACACAGGTTGAGGGTCACGGGATGGCTGGAGCAGAACAGAAGCTATGGAGCTGCAGGGACCTGGGCGTGTGATCCCACAGGTTCGTGTGGGTGGCCTACTCCTGGTTCTCCTGGACACACCACTGAGTCCCCAGGTATCACTATAGGGCCAGAAGGAGCTTTGCTGTTTCCACCTCTCACCTTTGAGAGCCCCCTGAGCCCCAAGGTGGACTTCTTCAGCGGAGCTTCTTGATCAGTCCCTTGGAAGGTCTTTACATTTTCCCTTAGAAGTCCCAGGACAGAAGGGGCCTTCTCCAGCAGAACTGCATTTGGAAGATGCCGGAAGCATGACACCCTGCCCTTTTTGTTTTTAAATTTATTAAATAGATTTTAGAGGTAAAGGAAGGGAGAGATAGAGAAACGTCGATGTGAGAGAGAAATAGCGATTGGTTGCCTCCCACATGCACCCCAACAGGGGATTGAACCTGCAACCCAGGCATGTGCCCTGACCAGGAATCAAACCCACATTTTTGTGTATGGGAGGACTCTCCAACCAACTGAACGGGGGTACCGCCCTTTAAAAGACTTAGTCTGAGCTGTTTTCACGGTGACACATCATTAGCAAACAGTACAAGAGCTGCCAACAAAAAGCACGTCTCCCTCCTGCCCCGTCCACTTCCTGGAGTGACCACCAGGTTCAAGACACTGCTGAGCTCCTCCAGAATGTCCCCTCCTGCTCTCCAGGCCACACAGACTTGCTGCTTTCCTCTGGGTACATGTGACTCCCCTGTTTCCTTCTGGAGTCCCCCTGTCTGATCCAGACCCACTCCAGCCCTGGAACATGGGTGTTGTTTTTGCTGTTTCTCCAAGAATGTTGAGAATTGTCTAATATCTTGATTTCTAACTCTCTTTCTTAGTTTGGGCCAGAAGTTTCTCTTTTTCTTTGCCTGTCATGGAGAAAAGCAAGAATTTAATTGGTCCCATTTTTCCCACTACGTGTGTGTGTGTGTGTGTGTGTGTGCTTGCACGTGCATGTATGTGTGGTGTGGGTATGTATGTGTGCATGCATGTGCTATGGGCATGGGTGTGCATGTGTACATGCACATGTGGGGGGCACATCTGCATACATTTGTGGGCATAAGTTTGCATCTGTGTATGTGTGGATGCATACATGCGTGGGCATGTGTGTGTGCAGTTTTGTTGTGTGGTGTTGCTGTGCTCTGCATGGGACCCTGTCTTCTGTTTAAGTGACCACCCTCACAGGGCAGCACTGCCTTCTCTGGAAGGAGAGGGAGCATCTGGCAGCATGTCGTGGGGGCTGCTTGGCTTTGTGGCTCATGGGCTTGGTGGTCCCCTGGTGCACACCCATGTGGAGCTTTTGAACTAGAATCAGCCAGTTCTGTTCACAGTGATCTGGAAGAGTGACTGAGACTGGAACAGAATCAGTGGAGTTTCTCAAGGAGAAAGGAAGGAGGCATGGGGACCTAGGCCACCCAGAGCAGCTGCCCTGTTACCCATCTTTACCCAGGTGGCACCAGGAGCTTGAGACAAGACCTCCTCTCAGGGCTTTGCGGCGCAGCACAGCACCCGGCAGAACCTGACCTGCTAGCACACAGACCAGTGCGTGGCCTGGCGGGAGCATGGTCCTGGCGTTGAGCACTGTAAGCCTGGCAGCCTGGGAGCAGGGTGCATGGGCTGGAAGCAGGTTCCGGGCTGCAGTGATGGGTCCAGGGCTGTGACTGCTGAGGCAAGGGCGCACACATGGGACAAAAGTGGCCATGGGACCTACGGCAGACCCTGGAGGCTGCTTTGGGGGAGACGGGGCTGTTTCCAGTAAGAGTTCCTGTTGGAGATCAGAGGATGGTGGGTGGGACATCAGCTGAATTGTAGGACTGACTCATAACCAGTGGCAGAAGGGGCATCCGGCAGATCAGAATGACAGTAGGCGCGTGACACCCCCATGTCCCCTCTTTCCTACTTCTGATTTCCTGTGAAAGTGACTAAAAGTCTTGCAAAATAAACCACAGTGAGCGTTCTTGAACACAGAGAGCCCTACTGCTGCCCAACACGAGCCTCTCCCCTAGAAGAACCAGGTGGCCTGGGGGGGGCACTGGAACATTCCAGGCTTCCCCCTGCTCCTGTGCCGAGGGCGGATCGCGGAGCTGTGTCTGCCTGGCTGTCAGCACAGTGGGCTGGTGATTCAGCCGTGAGGTGGGTGTGCAGCCGCTGGGGTCTGCGTCACCCACCGAGGCTGACACTGGGGCACTGCTTCAGGTCCCCAGCACATGCAGCTGTCCTTGAGGAGGGGTGCTGTGCCTGGAAAGGGGGACTGAGGTCTGTGTTGGGGCAGAAGATGGGTGTCTGCAGGAACCGAAGACGCCGACTCTGCCCGTGTTCCACTGTCCTTGCTCTTTGTGGCTCGGTGACTGCGGAGCACTGGGAAACTCTGCCAGGCACATGCAGGAGCTTCGACTACGGCAAAGGTTTCCCCCGCACGCTGGCGGGGTAGGAGGCTGGAGCCACTTCCAGGCCATCCCACTAGCCTGGGCCTCTGTTGACCCCTGGAGCGAGGCAGTCTAAGTGGCCTTGCCTCTTGGCAAGTCCAGTGCCTCGTACATGCAATGCGTAAGTCTCGCCTTCGTCTTCTCTTCTCTTCCTGCAGCGAGGTCCCCTGCCACCTGCCGAGCGTGGATCAGCATCAGCAGGCAGCATGTCCTACCCAGGGACCTCGCCAGCAGTGCCCCAGTTTTGGCTGGCTGTGGATCTCAGGGGCTCCTCTTGGATCTGAGCCCCCTCAGCCAAGTTGTGCTGATGTGGTTATTGTGAAACCAGGCTTTCTCAGCAGCCAGAGTGAAGTTGTGACATGCTTGGTGGGGACACACTTCCCTGCAGAGGCTGCTGGTTTTGCAGAAGTGGGAGTGCATTTCCAGTGGCGCCCGAGGCTGGGCCTTTCGCCACCCCTGGCCTCCGTGCAGAGGCACATGGGGTGGTGGGCACATCCTGCGGGCTCACGGTTGGCAGGGAGTCCCAAAGCCATAAAAGCCCCAAGTGCAGTGCAGAGGCCGAGAAGGCAAGGTTCCGAGTGGGGTCCTGGAGGCTAAGGGAAGGATGTTCTGGATCAGGGAGAGGGGCTCACACAGGTGTCAGTGTTTCAGGGTCAGAAAGTGGCCAGTGGCTCTGCAGCAACAGCGTGGAATTCACGGAATTGGGCGTGGTGGTGGGACACGCGGCCCTGGGAGCTGGCTTCCTGCCTGGGCAGCAGCGAGCTCTCGAAGGTTGGGGTGCATGGGGTACATCTGGGGGTCAGGGGAGGGGATTAGGATTAGGCAGTGTGGAGGCTCACAGAAACGGGAGGGGCCGTTGAACAGGCCAGTACTGGGCTGTCCCAACAGAGACAGGGCATCAGGGGGGCCTAGGGGGGGAACGAGGGGGGGATTCCAGGAGCACCAGGCTCCCAACCAGTGGGAAGGTGCCATGCGGAAGGCGGGCCGTGCCGGAGGGTTCTTCCTGCAGCGAGAGTTGGAGAAGTGGTGTTCCCCCTTCTCTCAAAAGGCTTTTCTTCCCCTGACCCCACCCTGGGCTAAACTAGTCAGTCCTTCCTCTTTTTTTAGAGAGAACTTCTATTTGATGTTCCACTTATTTATGCATTCATTGGTTGATATTTGTTTTTTGGGTTTTTTTTAATCCTCACCCGAAGACATTTTTCCATTTTTTGTTCAGATAGAGTGGGAGGGAGGGAGGGAGGGAGGGAGGGAGGGAGGGGGAGAGAGAGAGAGAGAGAGAGAGAGAGAGAGAGAGAGAGAGAAACATCGACATGAAAGGGACACATCGAGGGGCTGCCACTCATATAACCAACCAGGGCCGGGGACAAACTGCAACCGAGGTACGTGCCCTTAGCGGGAACCAAACCCGGGTCTCTCTGGACCACAGGCCGACGCTCTAACCGCTGAGCCAAACCGGCCAGGGCTCTTTTTTTAAAAAATATTTTTTCTTTATTGATTTTAGAGAGAGAGGAAGGAGGAGAGAGATAGAAACATCAATGAGAGAGAACATCGACCGGCTGCCTCCTGCACGCACCCCCTGAGGATCGGGCCCTTGACCTGGGCATGTGCCCTGACTGGGAATCGAACTGGTGACCTCCTGGTGCATGGGTTGGCCCCTCTCCAGCCGGGCCACTGGTTGATGTCTGTATGTGCCCTGACTGGGGATTGAACCCTCAACCTGGGTGTACTGGCACAACATTCTAACCAACTGAACTACTTGGCCAGGGCTTTCTCTTTTTTCTTAAAAAGACAGTTTATATCTTTTTACTGTGTGTTGGCAACTGTTAAAAATCTGGGGGTGGGGAGGGTGTGTGCCAGTTTCTGCTGGCAGCGGGCGGTACTCCCGCCACCGGTGGGAGTCGGGCGGGGTGCACAGCAGCTCCCTCGTGCAGAGCCACGCGGGGAACGCTCCGGAGCCGGCGTATCGTGAACTAATTCGGGAGCGGTGAGGCCGAGGCGTGTGCTCTCACTGTGATGCAGCAAGTGTGCGTGTTCCGGCCGTTTTCCGTCCGGCCGTGCGCGATGCTGACGCACAGTCGTGTGGCTCATCCCACGGCTCCGTCTTCGAAGCCAGTGACGGGCGTGGAGCCCTCATCCAGATCGCTCTCGTTTTCTGCCCATCAGCCTGACTCCCCGCCTCTGCAGGGCGCCCGTAATTAGATCTGACTCACGTGGATACTCTGCCTTTTGCACGGAGCATAATCACACTCACGAGTTCTGCCCACACTTGGACGGGGGTGTGCACTGGTGAGCAGGGCCGCTTCCCCAGGAGCCCACAGGCTGCTGGAGCTCCGGGGCTACGTAAAACAACGTGCTTCTCACCCACGAGAATACAGGGGCCAGCAGTCTGTCCTGTCAGTTGGTCTGATATGGGGTGGTCTTGTCAGTCAGTAGGGTCCACGGAGCATGCTGGTCTATTTCCGTGTCCTGTGATTTACATGCAGGCTGTCACAGGACTGGAACTCAGCCCTGAATACCAGGGAGAACCCAGCTGTGTGTGTGTGTGTGTGTGTGTGTGTGTGTGTGTGTCTGCACTGACCTCTGGGCCAGAAATCAGTCTCTCTGGCTCGCCTGGGGGTGGGGGAAGGTGGGGTGTAGCAGGCTGGGGCCAGTCCAGAAACAGAAACCACAGCAATTATTTTCACAGAGGATTTGATAGAGATAGTTGTAACTGGTAGAACAGAAAGGGCAAAGGGCTACACGTGTTGTGCAGGAGGCCCCTCCCAGCAGCCCAGCCCCGGCCCCAAGCAGCTGACACGGGATCAGAGAGAGGAGGTTGGGTGGTTGGGTTCGGAGAAGGGGCGTGCAGGGTCGGTGATGAGGCTTGCTGGGAGGGATGGGAAACCACAGTGTGGATGTCATGGGGGATGGAGAGCCGCTGGTTCCGCTTCCCTCCGCCCAGTCTCCTTGGCAGCAGCGTCCAGTAGGAGCCACCGGCTGAGCAGGACGTGAGTTCCAGAGCCACCGCCCGGCATCACAGGGCCCAGCACACAGGGTGGGTTGGAGCTGAAGCCTGGATCTGAACAACAGGAGGTCCTTTCTCGGGGGCCCAAGGGCTTCATCCCGAAGCTGGGCTCTCTGCGCCGCTTTCTTCTGGGTCGGGCTTAGCCCTGCACTTGCACTTCGACAGGTGCCCCCCGACGGGCTGGCGATCCCGATTCACACGCCGTGTCACTGGTGGCACCTGAAATGGAGATGGCCACCCGGGGCTTAGTGCTCGCTGTCATTTCAAAGCAGAAAAGAGCGACTTCAAGTTTGCGGCTCCGAGGGACTAACTGTCCGTATCCAGAAGCAACGGAGAGGGTATTTTTGGAAGGAGTTTCAGGGTTGGTGTTGTTGCTTCAGATCTGTTTTCTTCAGAGTTGATTAGAATCGGAAGGATTGGAAATGCTGCAGCCTGTGTCTGTGTCCAGGAGGCCAGGAAATCAGGCGAGGAAATTGGCAAAGTGCCGATTTTAACCTTTTACTTTAATAAGACTTGATTTTTAGCCCTGGCCAGTTTGGCTCAGCGGTTAGAGCGTTGGCCTGCGGTCTGGAGAGACCCGGGTTCGGTTCCCGCTAAGGGCACGTACCTTGGTTGCAGTTTGTCCCCGGCCCTGGTTGGGTCATGTGGGTAGCGACCACTCGATGTGTCCCTTTCACATCGATGTTTCTCTCTCTCCCTCCCACTCTATCTGAACAAACGATCAAAAAATGTCCTCAGGTGAGGATAAAAAAAAAAAAATGTTAATAAGACTTGATTTTTTTTTTTTTATTACATTAAGTTCTGATAATACAGGCTTGAAAGGTTTGAAAAGACAAATCCTAAGCGTGCAGCTCAATGAATTCACAAGGTGACCGAGCCTGTGGACCTGCCACCACGTGAAGCACGCAGGCGTCCCTCCCTGGCATGGCCGCCACCTTCCCCGAGGCAGCCTCCCTCCCAAGATGGTCTTATCGGTTTTGAACATTAAGGTGAGACTTGGAGGTTGTCCAGGTGAAGAGGGAAGTCGGTGCACAGAAGGTGAGGCGACCAGAGCAGAACGGCAAGTGCAGGGGATGGAGGCCCCTGGGGCCAGCCACACGCCCGCATTTCTGTCCTCGCTGTCCCTCTGTCTCACACTGTCTGTCTCTCAGTCGAGCCTTTTACACCATCTCTCTCACGCTTGCTGTCTCTTTCTCTGGGAGGTTGTACAGGTGACAGACCCACTTCTTACCTGTGCCCCTGGAGGCACTGAGATTTAAATGGAATGGCATGTAAAGTGTTTGTTTCAGCTACTCCACAGTTCGTTGAAATCTCACCCTGCCTGCTCTCTGTGCCCTTTCTTTGTCTTGTGGGTCTGTGTTACAGAAAGGTCCTGGGCCCTGGCCAGTGTGGCTCAGTTGGTTGAGCATCATCTCGTGCACCAAAAGGTCACTGGTTCGATTCCTGATCAGGGTACATGCCTGCTTGTGGGCTTGATCCCCAGGAGGGGTCATGCAGGAGGCAGGCCCTGCCCTAGCTGATTTGGCTCAGCGGTTGGAACATCAGGTGGGTCCATGGACCCGAGAGTCATGGGTTCAATTCTGGGCACCTACCTTGGTTATGGGTCAGTCCCCGGCCCTGGTGGGGTTGTGCGGGAGGCAGCTAGTCGATGTGTCTCTCTCAGGTGGATGTCTCTCTCTCTCTCTGTCTCTCCTTCCTTCCCTTCCTCCAACTCTGGCTGAAGTACTCCTGGGTGAGGATTTTTTTTAAAAAAGTCCTTTGCCCTCATGTGGGGCCCTTAGGGCAGGCAGAGGCCTGAAGGTCAGTGGCCAGGTCAACTAAAGTCCTGGGGTTGGCTTAGAGGGTTTTCCTGCTCCTTGGCCTCTTTGTCTTTATTCACCGTCCTGGTCAGTCACATCTCCTGCATCCGAGTTGAGCTCATGGGAGTGTTCCCGACTCTCACCCTGGGCAGGGCCACTGTCCTCACACTTCCCTGGGTGGCCCTGGCTTCCCACTGCTTATACGTGGCTTATCGGGGTGGGATCTCAGGTGGTGGCTCTCAGTGGCCTCAGCAGTAACCTTCCTGGGATGGGCTGGGGGCCAGGCCTGAGGTCTAAAGCAGGGTTCGAGGAGCCAGACACGAGGAGGCATGTGTGGTGTGTGTGTCAGATTCAGCGTGTCCTCATCAAGCCCTGCGCTGTGTCAGGATTTGCAAAAGGAACGACCACTCCTGGACTCTTCATGTCACGAGCGAAGACCTGTCACCGTTAGCTTGTGTAGATGTCCAGGCCACAGAGACATAGCCTTCTCTTCTCTTCCACTAAAGAAGAGCTCCTGAAAGAATCTTTTTCTCGACTTTCAGTCAAGGTGGCGGCGGAGGTAACGCAGTCTCGCCTCCTCCCACAACCACCTCGAAATGGCAACTAAACTACAGAACAGCCATCATTCAGGACCAGCTGACATCGAACTGAATGGAAGTCCTACAACTACAACATTAAAGAAGCAGCCACATGGAGACTGGTAGGAGGGCAGAGGTGCGGACAGGCTGGTCCCACCAACGTGTCGGATAAAAACCAGGAGTGAGGCCTCGGCTGGGAGGATCCTCCTTCAGGAGCAAGGGGTCCCCATCCCACATCAAGCCCTTAGCTCAGGGTTCCAGTGCCAGGAGGAAAAGTCCCCGTAACTCCTGGCTGTAAAGACCAGTGGGAACTGAGGCTGAAGGAGGCTGAGGCTTCTGGAGTCCCAGACAGCTCCTCTTAAAGGGCCCGCACACGAACTCACTTCCTCCAGGCTCAAGCATGGGGCAGGCAGCTTGAAAGGCACCAGAGACATACGGGGAAGAACTGAGTTGTTTGGCATCTAGGTGAGGGCTGGAGAGGCAGCTTTCTCCCGGGACAGACACGCCGGCTGAGGCCCTTGTTCCCTGGGTGAGCCCTCATGGGGCAGGCAGACTCCTGCCATATCTGGACTCCAGCAACCTGGCTCACACTGTTTGCCCTGCCCTGGTGATTCCCTGAGGCCCTGCCCCACCCAAACTCTTTCCGGTGGCTTTACCATAGGATTGGCCTGTCTTGGCTCCTGCTTCAGAGTTTTCTAAATTCTCTCAAACAAGCAGCATCTGGCCTCAACAAGCCCCGTACCTCTTTCTAAGTGGCCCAGGCCTGGCACTAGAAGCAGCCAGCCTTGGTTCACAGCTTGGCTTTGCCTGGGCACCTCCAAGCCCAATACAAGAAGCAGCCATCTGCAGATCACTTTGTAGCTTATACCGGGTGGCCCTGGGTAGAACACAGGCAGTGGCTGACCTTGTCCCAGAGTCAGTACACCCAGTGGACACCTTCAGACCACATCGAAGCACTATCACCCAACCACTTCCACAAATGATACACTCAAGGAATGGGCACAGTGGGTACCAGAGCCCTGCTGATAAGTCTTACTGTGTGTGGTGGCCCCTGCACAGCTGCTCCTCCAAGGTAGTCAGTGGGCACAGCCAATCCCTGCAGCTGATCATTCTGAGTAAATCCTTCCCATTGATGTGCCAATAGCAATCAAGACTCAATTACGACAGAAGGGTATACAATCCACACAAGGGGTGCACCTTGAGGGCCCAGCTGGGGTGATCAGGGAGGCTGTGCCACTGGACCCTACAGGACACTTACTGCAATAGGCCACCCTACAAAGCCTAGGAGACATAGCAGCTCTACCTAATACATAGAAACAAACACAGGGAGGCAGCCAACATGAGGAGACAAAGAAACATGTCTTGAATGAAAGAACAGAACAAAACTCCAGGAAAAGAATTAAATGAAACAGAGATAAGCAATCTAACAGATACAGAGTTCAAAACACTGGTTATAAGGATGCTCAAAGAACTTACTGAAGAGCTCAAGAGCATAAAAAAGGACCAGTCAGAAATAAAGGATGCACTAACTGAAATAAAGAATAATTTACAGTCCTGGCTGGTTTGGCTCAGCAGTTGGAGCATCGGCCTGCAGACCAGAGAGTCCCGGGTTTGGTTCCCGCTAGGGGCACGTACCCCCCAAAAATATATAATTTACAGGGAATCAATAGCAGAGTAGGTAAAGCCAAGAAGCAAACCATCTATTTGAAATATAAGAAAGCAAAAAACACCCAATCAGAACAGCAAAAAGAAAAAGAATCCCAAAAAATGAGGACGGTATAAGGAGCCTCTGGTATAACTTCAAGCGTACCAACATTTGCATCATGGGAGTGCCAGAAGGAGAAGAGAGAGAGTAAGAAATTGAAAACCTATTTGAAAAAACAGTGACAGAAAACTTCCCTAACTTGGTGAAAGAAACAGACATACAAGTCCAGGAAGCACAGAAAGTCCCAAACGAGATGAACCCAAAGAGACCCACATCAAGACACATCATAATAAAAATGCAAAAGGTTCAAGACAAAGAGAGAATCTTAAAAGCAGCAAGAGAAAAGCAGTTCGTTACCTACAAAGGAGCTTCCATAAGACTGTCAGCTGATTTCTCAAAAGAAACTTTGCAGGTCAGGAGGGAGTGAGTGGCAAGAAATATTCAAAGTGATGAAAAGCAAGGACCTACAACCAAGATTACACTATCCTGCAAAGCTGTCATTTAGAATCGATGGACATAGAAAGAGTTTTCCAGACAAGAAAAAGCTAAAGGAATTCAACACCAAACCAATATTATATGAAATGTAAATACATATTTATAAACTATTGAATCTACAAAAAGCGAACAAAGCAAAACAGAAACAGACTCATAGATACAGAGAACTTTTTGTTGGTTACCAGGTGGGAGGGGAGTTGGGTGGTTGGGTGAAAAAGGTGAATGGATTAAGAAGTACAAATTGATTGTTAGACTGAGAAACCTCAAAGGGAAGGGGGGAGGTGGAGTGATAAGAGATAAACCAAATAACTCATATGCACATATGCATAACCAATGGACTCAGACAGTAGTGTGGAGAAGGCAGGAGCTGGGTGGGAGTAGGGAGGAGGGGTCAGTGGGGGGAAAATGGGGGGGTGTCTGTAGTACACTCAACAATAAAGATAAATTACAAAAAGAAAAAGAGCTCCTGCCCTGGCTGGGTAGCTCAGTGGGTTAGAGCACCGTCTGGATACACTCAGGTTGTGGGTTCGATCTCTGATCAGAGCACATACAAGTATCAACCAGTAAATGTATGGGTGGGTGGATCGGTGGAATAGATGTTTTTCTCTCTCTAAAAACCAATACATTAAAAAAAAAAAAAAGAGCTCCTGCCTTTTATGAACTTAGCTTTGGATGCAGACAGCTTAACTTGACTGCAGTCACCTGCTTTGTGTGCTATAAATAAACTATCTCACAAAAGTTGTGTTGTGGTTCCCATGGCAACAGAGCTCCTTCCCCTTCCCCCTTCAGAAAGGTTCCTCCTGGCCCTGAGGCCGCTGAGCCCCAGTGGCCAGAGGACCCCTGCCAAGGCCAGTGTGAGATCCCACTCTGTCTGTGAGCTGGTGTGTGGCTGTGACTGTTCTCAGGGGACCCTCGGCCCTGGACTGGGCGCCCTTCTCCCCAGCAGACACGGGCTTGAACAGACGGTGCCTCACAGGTTTCTTTGCCAGCTCAATGCGGTGGGATTTCCAGAAGTGATTTGAAGGCCCTGAGTCCCAGCTGGTGGCAAGTGGCCTTCTTACCTCAGCCCTTCGTGGTTGCTTCCCAACACGTTTCCTATACAAAGGAGTGAACAAAGCCCATCGCCTGGCACAGATGCCCCAGAGTGCGGACATGGAGCCGGCCTCGGGGAGAGCCGCCTGGTCCCTGCACCTGGGGCCTGGCATGCGCTGGCTCCCCTCTTCCAGGCTGGCCCCAGGCCTGGGTTGTGCGCCTGCTGCACATGACCGCAAGCCCACAGCTCTTACACCTGGTCCTTCTCTGTCTGTCTTGCAGGTTCTGGGGTTTGAGATTGATGCTGTGAACTCTGTCCAGTTTTCAAACCACACAGGTAAGGCACTGGTCAGCCGAGTGTAGGCATGGGAAATGGCCTTTAGAAATCTGGGGTTTTGTCCTCCCATCTGACGGGCAGGGAAACAGCGCCGGAGGGGTTACCACCTGCAGAGGCCACTCTGAACGTGGAGGGCTGGGGTCTCCTGTCTGCGGTGTGGACTGCCTTCTGAGTCTCAGCGCGGGGCTTTGGGCTGCCTGACCTTGGCAGGTGGTGTCACCAGGAAGGACGGTGCCTGAGTTTCCTCCTTTGTAAAACAAGGACGGTGGTCCTAGCACCTTCTCCAGGGCTCTGCCATCCTTTGTACACGAGTATGTTCATGCCACTCATGATGCCATGGCCGCGAGGAGGGTCCCACATACTGCAGGTGGGCGTGTGGGTGGACCCCGATTTTCCCTATTAGAGACTGGTGCCTGGGAGAACACAGTGCATGGACTTCAGGGGTTTCTGGACCCAGCCTTGAAATGGAATTGCTGGCTGACGGTGTGAGAGGGTCAGTGCCCTTAGGAGGCCCTGCTCCCTGCTCCCTGCTCCCCACGCTCCCTGCTCCCCACGCTGCCCACACTCCCCGCCACCGCAGAGGCAGGAGGACAAAGCTTCCTTGGTTCTTGGAAGTGCCCCCATGGCCTCTTCTGAGACTGCGCGGAGCCGGGAGGAAGGTCCGGGTGCAGAAGCCCAGCCTGCCTGGCAGAGCTCCCCGGAATCCGCGGGCAGCGGCTCTTCTTGGCCCTCGGGAAGCATTTCTGGTAACTCTCTTGGGCGCAGTTTTCCTGGAAGGGAAGGGGGGTCACACGTCATGAACGAGGAGGGAAGAGCTCCATGTGGGCTTGGATGACAAGGCTGTAGTTCTCGCTGAAAGTCCTTTTCTGCTTTTCCTCTGCCAAGTGTGCTGGGCGCCCTGAAATCTGGAGAAGTCCCAAAAAGCTTGAGTTGGTCCAGCAAACTTCCCTGAGTCTCACATTTTTGTTGTTTTATTTTGTTTTTGTTAATCCCTACCTGAGGATATTCTCTCCATTGCGTTTCTGAGAGAGTGGGAAGGAGGGAGGGGGGAGAGACGGAGAGAGAGGGAGAGGGAGAGACATCCATGTGAGAGACACATCGACTGGTTGCCTCCTGCACTCACTCTGACCAGGGCTAGAGATTGAACCTGCAACCCAGCTACATGCCCTTGACTGGAATCAAACCCGTGACTCTGGTCTGCAGGTCGATGCTCTAACCGCTGAGCCAAACCAGCCAGGGCTTTACTGGCTGTTTTAACTACCCTCCCTTTTTTTCTTTCTTTTGTTTTGTTTTGTTTTATCCTCACCCGAGGACATTTTTCCATTTTTTGTTCAGATAGAATGGGAGGGGGGGAGAGAGAGAGAGAGAGAAACATCGACGTGAAAGGGACACATCGAGTGGCTGCCACCCACATGACCAACCAGGGCCGGGGACAAACTGCAACTGAGGTACGTGCCCTTAGTGGGAACCGAACCCGGGTCTCTCTGGACCGCAGGCCAACGCGCTAACCGCTGAGCCAAACCGGCCAGGGCTCTAGGGCTCTTTTTCTTTACTTTTTTAAATTCTCACCTGAGGATATTCTATTTGTGTTCAGATAGAGCGGGAGGGAAAGAGAGAGGGAAAGAGCAAGAAACATCGATGTGAGAGAGACACATGGACCGGTTACCTCCCGCACAACCCCAACCAGGGCCAGGGCCGCACTGCACCCGAGGTGCGTGCCCTTGACTGGACTGAACCCTGGACTCACCGCTCCGCGGTCCCACACGCCAACCGCTGAGCCAGACTTGCCAGGGCTCCTTTTTCCTTTTTTCCTCCAATTTGTATTCATTTATTTTTGTTACAGATGCTTCTCCTTTCCCCCCCCCCCCAGACCTCCTCCTCCCCATCCTATCCCCCCCACCCCTTCCTTTCTCTTTTTTTAAAGTAAATAAGCCAAACTGGCTTGGACACTAAATGGTGAAATTAAACTTATTGGTGAGTGTTATATTGCGCCCTAATGACATTAGTTCAATATAAACAGAGATTGGGTTCAGAAGGTCCTGCTGCCCTTTGCACCAGATTCCAGGGCGAGGGGAGGGGCTTCAGGGCCTTCAGGGGACTGGCTCCTTCTGGGCTCTGGGGACCTTCTCAGGTGGCGGTGGACTGGCTGTACTGAAGGACCTGAAACAAGGGGCCTCTGCCGGCCCCAGGAGGGATGGATGAAGAACAGACCAGTGTGCCCTGGCCGGTTGGGCTCAGCGGTTGGCGCGTCGGCCTGCGGTCCAGAGAGACCCGGGTTCGGTTCCCGCTAAGGGCACGTACCTCGGTTGCAGTTTGTCCCCGGCCCTGGTTGGGTCACGTGGGTGGCAACCACTCGATGTGTCCCTTTCACGTCCATGTTTCTCTCTCTCTCTCTCTCTCTCCCTCCCACTCTATCTGAACAAAGTATCGAAAAATGTCCTCGGGTGAGGATAAAAAAAAGAACAGACCAGTGTGCCTGGGAGCCCATGCAGTTGTGGGCAGGGTTAGGGCCAGGACAGGGGCTTCCCTCCCAGTAGGGTACCCCTCTGGTTCCTGGGAGGGCCTCTTCACCCATAGAGAAGAGTCCCCTGCCCCCAACGCAGCCTTCTCCTGGGGCCTGCCTGGAGAGGGGATCCCTTAGGCAGCTCCCACTGTGGGTGAGTTTGAGCACCCTCTCTGTGCACCTGAAGAAGACCTACCAGGGTAGGCCTTCCCAAGGCCATCACTGTGGCTCAGGTGTCAACCTTCGACCTGGAGTAGCCAGGGGAGGCCTCACTGTGCCTCGAACCCATGCACCTTTCCCCCCATCTCTCCCCCTTCACCCCTGCCCACACTCTGCTGCTCAGAAGAGAGGCTTTCCTGTGGCAGTGTGGCACGTGGCACCTGGCACTGGAGAGGCCACAGCAGCGAGTGGTTAGCACCTGTGGCCACGTGGCCCCCCTACACCCTAGGAGCGGGTCATATTGCCGGCTCTGAGTATAGGATGCCCACGGTCAGTTCTGTCCTGGAATTTGGACATAAAACTACTTGATATTTTTACTTTTGTTTTTTTAAAGGGCTGGAGACACTTTATCATTGTTATTATTTTTCACCACATTTCCCTGCAGCAGGCATCTCCCAACGCCAGCAGGAAAGACTTGCTGCAGGAGCTGTGTGTGGGCTCAGCAAACTTGTCCCCATTGCGAGTGTCCTTGTCCAGCACTGGGCTTCTCCAGCCGCCTGGCAACAGCCTCTCTGATTTGTTATTCCCACCATGCACTGCTCCTGTGTGCTAAGTGCTGGCTCATGCCAGCCTCGAGTTCAGCCACATGCTGTCTGCGCCTTGCTCGACAGGCGGCGCTGCAGCTCCTGTGCGGACACCCCAGCAATGCGTTATGGGCCCCATAGTCCTGCTAGCTGTGATCTTCAAAAAAAAAACCTTAAGACATTTATAGCCCTGGCCAGCGTCACTCAATGGTCAGAGTTGGCCCGCGGACCAAAGTGTTGAGGGTTCGATTCCTGTTCAAGGGAATGTACCTGGGTTGCAGGTTTGATCCCGGCCCTGGTCAGGGTGCACACGGGAGGCAACCAATTGATGTGTCTTTCTCACATCGATGTTTCTCTCTCTCTTACTCTCCCTCCCTCCCTTCCACTCTCTCTAAAAAATCACTAGGAAAATATTCTCAGGTAAGGCTTAACAACAGAACAGATGTTTACGTACTAGAGCATGAGTTCACCCATTTATGTGTATAGTGCAATGTTCTTTAGTATAGTCACAGTAATGTAACTATCACCACTATATTTCTGCCACATTTTTGTGCTCCAGTGAGGTAACCGGACCGGTTAGGAATCCCTCCCATTCCCCCTCCCCCCAACCACCAGTCTACTTTTTATCTATGGATTTGCCCATCATGGACTTTCATATCAATGGAATCAGATGATATGTAGCTTTTTTTTTTTTATCCTCACCTGAGGGCATTTTTCCATTTTTTGTTCAGACAGAGTGGGAGGGAGAGAGAGAAACATCGACGTGAAGGGACACATCGAGTGGCTGCCACCCTCATGACCCAACCAGGGCCAGGGACAAACTGCAACCGAGGTACATGCCCTTAGCGGGAACCAAACCCGGGTCTCTCTGGACCGCAGGCCGACGCTCTACCGCTGAGCCAAACCGGCCAGGGCTGATATGTGGATTTTAATGACTGGCTTCTTTCAACTGAGCCCAATGTTTTCAATGTTCATGCGTGTTGTAACACGTATCAGAACTTCATTTTTTTGTTTTTTATCCTCACCCGAGGACTTTTTTTTTTCATTTATCTTCAGATAAAGCAGGAGGGAGAGAGGGAGGAAGAGAGAGAGAGAAATATGGACTGGAGAGAAGCACATTGAGTGGCTGCCACCCACACGACCCAACGAGGGCCGGGGACAAACTGCAACCGAGGTACATGCCCTTAGCGGGAACCGAACCCGGGTCCCTCCGGACCACAGGGCAACGCTCTCACCACTGAGCAAAACCGGCCAGGACTTTTTTTTTTTTTTTTTTTATGGCTGAATAATAGTCTACTTTATGTGTCTGCCACATTTTGTTATCCACGCGTCCACTGGTGGCCATTGAGGTTTATGAGTCATGTCACTATGGACACGTGTCCTCACATGTTTTTGTGGGCACTTTTTTTGTTTCCTCCAGTGTATACCTAGGAGTAGAATTGCTGGACCAGATAGTAACTCTGTGTTCAATCTTTTAAAGACTGTTTTCCAAATGGGCTGCGTCATTTTGTATCCCCACCAGAGGTGTGCGAGGGCTCCAGTTTCTCCGCATCCCGCCAATGACACCTGTTACTGTCTTTCTTATTCTCGTCGTCTTCGTGGGTGTGAGGTGGCGCCTCACTGTGAATTGAGTCTAAAATAACTCCTAATGTTGAGGCCAGAGATCCTGGCTTCCCGGGCGAGGCGCATCCTGGCGCAGGGCTGGCACCTTCCTGTGAAGGGCCAGGGAGTAGTACTAGTTGAGGCTTTTGCACCTTCTGGGCCATTTGAAGCCTGGAGCCACCAGAGACAGTGTGGGTATTCCGTGAAGCCGAAACTTGACTTATGGAAACTGGACGTGGAATTTCATGGAATTTTCACTAGTCATACAGTATTTTTTTCAACCATTTAAGAATGTGAACTCTGCTCTTAGCTTGTAGTCTCTACACAAACATAGGGCTTGGCCTAAGGGCAGTTTGCTGACCTCTGCTCGAGATCAGTGTTTGTCACATTTGTGGGTGTCTAAGAATGGCCTGGGGCCTTGTTGAAACTAAGTGCTGCCCCTCTCCCCTAGATTCTGACTCAGCAGATCTGGTGGGCCTGAGAATCCGCCTTTCAGACCAGCCCCAGGTAGTACCTGGGTGCCAGTCTCAGAGACCTCGCGATGGATAAGGAGGGTCTGTAGTCATCACGAAAGATGGATGAGTTTGGGGTAGGGAGGCTTTGGGGGCTGAAAGGGGTCGGGGTAACAATAGCAGGGGGTGGGATAGCCCCAGTGTTCCTGTTCCTGGGGCAGACCGCCACTGTGCCAGGGACCCAGGACCACCCCCAGGTTCGGCAGTTCACTGGGGGGGCTTCCAGGACTCAGCGTGTCGTATGCTCAGGGCTCTGATTTCTGACAGCGGAAGCCCGCAGCCTGTTGGAAGCAGGTCTGGCGGAGAGGCCGGGCTCCGTCGTGGTGCCCTGTGTTTGAGGCCTGGTGGGGGGCTGTGTCTCACCTTCGTCACTGCCTGTCATAGGCTGGATTGTGTCCCCGCAATTCATGTGTTGAAGCCCTGGCCCCCGGCCTCTTGGAGAGCGACTGTATTTGGAGATGGGGTCTTTAGAGAGGTGTGTGAAGTGAAATGAGGTCCTTGGAACGAGTCCTAGTCCACAGTGACAGTCATCCCCATAAGAAGAGGAGATCAGGACACAGGCAGGCACAGAGGGACAACCGTGTTTGGGCCCAGGAAGAAGACGGTGTCTGAAAGCCCAGGAGAGAGGCTTTGTGGGGAACCAGCCCTGCCCACGCCTTGATGTCAGCCTCCAGCCTCCAGCACTGTTGTTGCCACCAGTCTGTGGCACTTTGTCACAGCAGGCCCAGGACAGGGACACACCACGTGTGCAATGGACATCAACCAACCCGGGTGGCACACGGTGTGGAAACCGAGGGGCAGGAAGGAGCAGTTTCCCCACCCCGGGCCCGAGCATGTTGGAGGCTCCTGCCCGGGACGCAGCCAGAGGCTGCCAGCTCCCAGTGGGCTTGGCTGCAATGGGCAGCCCTGCGCTGGGGGCTCACTGGACGCTCCCTGCCTGGCCCTCCTGGCCCCGAGGGTACAGTGACGGGTCAGTCACACTCACCTCCTGGTTTAGTTTGCGCTGGTGTCCCCCCAGAGCACACAGACATGAGTTTGCCCCAGCTGGACGTCCCAGCCTGGGGTCCACCTGGAGGGTTGTAGGGCAACTCCCGCGTTTTTTACTTACGTCTTGGAAGCACACCGTTTGGAGGGCCTCCCCTGCCATCCAGGACACCAGGAGGAGTTCTCACGGGTGAAGTGTGGGGCGTCCATGGTGTGGCCCCACCCCTGGTGAACGGGGAGCCATGGGCCTGCCCCCGTCCGAGCCTCTTGTGGGTGGGGTCCCCATGGTAGGCGAGTCCACCCAGGATGCCATGCATCTGTCTGCCTGCACCTGAGTCCCTGTCAGGCTGAGAGCAGGGTGAGCGCCCGGGCCCGTTTGGCTCTTGGTCACGATTTGATCCACAACTGACTTTGGCTGCATCTCAGCCTTGGGGAGGAGGGTGGGCTGGGGTGTGACAGCCCTACTGCCAGGGAGCTCAGGTGATGCTCTTCAAACAATGCAGCCTGGGTGGGGAAACAGGCCCAGTAGAAGTTGGCAGAGCAAGTGACTATGATGTGGGACATTCCCAGTGTCCCCATAAAGACAGGGAGAAGTTAGACAGTTGTGTGGGCCAGTGTGTCCCTTTTTAAAAAATTTTTTTTCTTTATTGATTTTAGAGAGAGAGGAAGGGAAAGGGAGAGACAGAAACATCAATGAGAGAGAACATTGACCGGCTGCCTCCTGCATGCCCCCCGCTGGGGATCGGGCCCCCCACTGGGGATCGGGCCCACCACCCAGGTATGTGCCCTGACTGGGAATCGAACCAGCGACCTCTTGGTGCATGGGTCCACACTCAACCACTGAGCCATACCGGCCAGGCCAGTGTGTCCCTTTCAAAATGTCCCTCTCTGCATCCTGTCAGTGTGACACGGGTGTCCACGGGCCAGCCTGGAGAACTGACACCCTCCTCGCTTGGACTAATTCCACAGGGAACTGGCAGTCGGAGGTGTGACCCCTGGTGTCAGTAATAACCACAGACAGTATCAGGGCCAGGTGTGTTATCAGGGGCACTTTGAGGCTGCCTGTCACCCACAGGGGTCAGGGGCACCCACCGAGCCACTGCCTGGGCGGTCTCAGTCAGCCCTTGGGGAGGGGACCGTCCACAGCGTCATGGAGATTTTCTGGGCTGCATCAGCTCTCAGGTGAAGTGTCCCACCTGTGTGCCAAGCCCTGAGTGCCCTGTTTTCCCCCAGGCTACGCACACTGGAAGGGTCAAGTGCTGAACTCAGATGAGCTCCATGAGGTGTACGAAGGTCTGAAGCTGAACAATGTGAATAAGTATGACTACGTGCTCACGGGTAAGGGTCCTGGGAGCCTTGCTCCAGCTGGGGTGGGCCCGGGGTCCCAGAGCGCCCCGGCCCCGCCCTGCCTCCTTCAGCGCCGGCTGGTGCGTGCCACCGAGAACTCAGTCCTGTCCGTGCCAAGTCACACTTCTGGGACCACAGTGGGGTTGCAGCACGCAAGAGGTGGGGTCAGTGGGGTGTTGCGTAGGGGTCGGGGTGAAAACACCCAAGTAAGCAACGCATTGCCACCTGGGACGTTGGTCTTATTCACACATACCGTTGGTTATAAAAAAAAAGAAAGAAAGAAAAAGTACCTGTTTGTATTTACATATGTGGTTAAAAGTGAATGTGCTCGTTATTGAAATGGACAGGACAGAGGAACATCCCATGTACACCTGTCACCTGTGGTTTCTTCCTTTCTTTAAAAACTCGGCGTTTCTTCTGAAAGTACCCGGGACCGTCGCGGGCTGCCTTTGTTGGGGGACAGTTGGTCTTCACCCTGGCCGCAGAATGGTTTTGACGATGCTTCTCTTTCCCTCGGCCACAGTGGGTTGCTGTGAGCCTTTAGTTTTGAGGGGCCTGCTCTTCCTCCCACAGGGTACATGAGGGACAAGTCCTTCCTGGCCATGGTGGTGGACATCGTGCAGGAGCTGAAGCAGCAGAACTCCCAGCTGGTGTACGGTAGGTGCTGGGCTGTCACCTGCTGGGGCGGGGTCCCCTGGGGGCCTGTGACTTCACGGTCCACCTCCCAGCCTGTGAGCCTGTGAGCGCTGAATCGGCCAGGTCTCCGGAGAAAGGTGAGCACTCAGGGGCTAGAAGCATCTTCACCGTGAACCTGGCGTCTGTGCGGGGCCAGCAGATTGTAAATAAACTGTATCCGTGTCAGTTGCAGAGGCCGGGCTGCCAGTCACTGCCGCTGGGGGGTGTGGGGCGGGCACCCAGGGTGGCCCGGTGGGAACGGGAAACGCCAGGTCATGAGTACGTGAGGGTGGAGCCCACGCTCTGCCAAGCTTTTCGGTGCAGGCAAAGCTTAACCCCGAACGCCCCGTGCGAGGCTCTTTGCTCTCCAGCTGCAGCTTTTGCTGATGAAACGCCCTTTGTGTCTCCCGCAGTGTGTGACCCGGTGATGGGCGACAAGTGGGACGGCGAAGGCTCTATGGTTAGTCATTTCATGCATGTGGAAATGTAGTGCGCACAGCTGTTGCCCTCAGTCCAAAGCGGGGCGTGGACACCGCGAGCCACTGCTGGGGGCGGTGGCAGGGCCCCGGCCGGAGGAGGCAGGGCCCGAGAGTCGGGAGCTCAGAGCCACACGTGGCCAAAAGCAGCCACTTTGCAAACCAACGGACGTGGCTGTTTTCTAATAAAGTTTCACGTATGGACAGATTTTAATTTCCTGTCGTTTCCAGGTGTCACAAAGTGTTACTCTTCTTTTTTACTTTTTCCCTAGTCATTAAAAAATGTTAAAATTGCCCTGAGCCCATGAGCTGTACACAGACAGGCAGTGGGACGGGTAGTGGGCTTACTGTCCCTGCGTGGGACCGGGTGGGCGATGATGTGAAGATGACGTGGCAGGACACCCTGGTGTGCTCATCCTTGGCCTTCATGGGAGGAGCTCTCCCAGCCCCCCCCCCGGGACCTCCTGCAGCCCTTGGGGTCACCACGCGCTGCCCGTGTCCATGGTCGGGGAGCCCAGTCTCCACATGGGGTCCCCGAGCCTGGACTCTCCGGGGTTTCCTCTCCTCCTCTGTGTGCGTCAGCCTGTGTCCCTGTCTCCTTTTTCTCAGTACGTTCCGGAGGATCTCCTTCCTGTTTATAAAGAAAAGGTCGTGCCGGTTGCAGACATCATAACCCCCAACCAGTTCGAGGCTGAGTAAGTGATCAGAAGTGCTTGGCCGGAGTGGCTCAGAGGTTAGAGCGTCGGCCCTCGGTCGCTGGCTCAGTTTCTGGTCCTGGGCATGTCCCTGGGTTTAGGTTCGTCCCCGCCCCAGTCGAGGTCCTGTGGGAGGCAACCAATCAATGTGTCTCTCTCACATCAGTGTTTCTCTCTCCCCCTCCCTCCCGCTCCCTCCCACTCTGTCTGAAAATCCATGGAAAAATATCCTCCGGTGAGGATTAACAACAACAACAACAACAACAAAAAGCCCCAGACCTCCCTGGGAGAGGACAGAGACCGCAGGAAGTGTCCTCACGTCCCCTCTGGGGCTTGCGCTCAGCGTCTCAGAAGGTCCTGCCTCAGGGGAGCGGACATCTGGCATCAGGGTGGGGGCATGACATCCCTGAGTCAAGGAGCCCCCTGCCCCCTGCATGTCAGGGTGATAAGGGGCCCCAGCCCAACATGGCTTCTTTCTAGCCGTCAGCGGTAGTAGGTAGTTCTTGTACCCTGACTCTCCATAGTGACCATGCTGACCCCAGCTGTTTTCCTGAACCAGAAGGAGCCTGGGGGATGGAAAAGGGGAAGAGGTGCTCTGGCCACAGGCCACAAGGTAGGGACAGTCCATGCCAGCTGACGCAGGCAGTCACCCCAGAGCTCTGAACCCCACACCCCAGATCTCTGTGTGAGGTTAAAGGTGTGTGCAGCCCTCTGCCCCGTGTGGAGTTTCAAAGGGCCCTTCTCGGATTGCACGGCCCCACCTCCTGCCTTGATGAACAGGCACCAGGAGCGTAAGGGGCGTTGCCTGGTGCTGTGGGTGTGCAGCTGAGCACCCAAGTGGTGGAAGTCCGGCTCTGCTGACCATCAGCTTGGTCCCTGTCTCTGAGGCCACTCTTTTTTTTTTATTCTTCACCTCAGGATATTTTTCCATTGATTTTTTCTTTCTTTCTTTTTTTTAGATAGAATGGGCAGAAGGGGGGGGGGGGAGAGAAACATCAACGTGAGAGAGACACGTTGATTGGTTTCTTCCCGCATGACCCCAACTGGGGCTGGGGATCAAACCTGCAACCCAGGCACGTGCCTTTGACTGGGAATTGAACCTGTTGCTCTTTGTTGTGTGGGCTGATGCTCTAACCACTCAGAAAAACTGGCCAGGTCTGAGGCCACTCTTTCAAGTAGGGATCATGGGGCTCCAGGTCTTTGGGGGCTGGGTTTTCCTGACAGGCCTGTCCATCCTGGGGATGACACTCACCCTGAGGACCTCAACCTTTGGTGGGCTCCTGTGAATGTGGTACACTAACCATTGCAGCTGTGACTTTCTGTGGGTGTGGGTCACCTTTGCTGGCCCGTGTGCCATGATGTGGGTCACTAGGGGGCCATGTGCTGCTGTCCTTTATGTTGTTACGTGTACACATTAACCACAGTCTGGAACTTCAGCACACCCTGTGATGCTTGAGTTTCCGATTAAAACTAAAATTTATTCTTGACCATCCCCAGACACATCATGGTGGCTTCTTGGTCCGTGGTGGCCCGTGGTGGCCAGCAGGCTCTGAGTTAGTTCCCTGTGGGAATTGGGGGTGGGGTACCAGTGCCCCTGTAGCTTGGGGGTGTTACAGGTAGAACCCAGAAAGCAGCATCTCACTGGTGCCTGCCTGTCTTTCAGGTTACTGAGTGGCAGAAAGATCCACAGCCAGGAAGAAGCCTTAGCGGTAAGGACACCTTCCAGGGCCTGGCATGGGGCGGGCAGCACTGCTCACAGTGGGAGGGGACGGGCACCCCTGTGGGCAGCGTGCCGGTCAGCTAGCCTGAGAGTGGGGGGGATGCATTGTAAACTTTGTTTGGGCTACTCCGTTGGTCACTTGCAGCTTCGTGCTTGTCAGGTCTGGGTTAACCCACCACCTGCTCTGCTCATAACAGCATCTCCGAGCTAACTGGGGTGGCCGTAAGAGAGTCCCCTGGTGGCCAGCAGGGTCAGGACCCTCTTCCCACTCTGAGGGCCTTCGAGCCAGAGGACCCCAGGGAGGGAAAGAAACAGGCACCCCTCCCTGTGAGAACTGGAGGACTTCACGTCAAGCACCCCTACAGCGCCCGGTGCAGGGTGGTGCTGGGTGGCTGGCCTGCCCTGTGCGCACGCGTGTGGGTGTGCACGTGTGGGTATGCACACGTGTGTGCATGGGCACATGTGTGTGCATACACATTTATGGGGTGCGTGTGTGTGTGCACGCGCGTGTGTGTGTGCATGCATGTGGGGGGGGCGTTTCCCACAGCCCACACCAGCTCTGGAGCAGAGGGTGCCCCCCTGCATGATCGCAGGCCCCGACCTGAGGCAGGTGCATAAGGAAGACAGGTCTGCCCACAGCCCTAAAGGCAAAGCCGACTAGAGAGATTGGTTCCTCGTTGCTGTGTGACCCCCAGCCGAAGGCCCTGGGCTACCATGCTGTGACTCGGCGAGCAGGCTCCTAGGCCAGGGGTCGTGACTTGGAGTCCACACTGGCCCCCTGGCACCAGAAATTCCCAGTGTGAAATCATCCAGGGTCACACAGGAGCCTTCCCAGGCTCTCAGAGTGACCCCGTTAGATGGTGCTGGCGGGCGCTGGCCCCGTGGAAGGCAGGCTAGGGGGCTCCTGCCTCCTGCCCCAGGCCTGGCCCCTGCTCTGGTTCAGCCGGCACTTTCCCGGGGCCCAAGTGGACCTCTGGGTATTTTGTCACAGGGCACCTCTGGCCCGCAGCGTGTGCTGGGCACCTGGCAGGAGGTGTTTGTTGAATGAATAAATGAGTGAGTGAGTGGCTTCCCGGAGTGGACGGGTGGTGGGAGCCGTTTTGCTTGGTGTTTGCCGTGTGTGGAGCACAGATGAGGAAGGACAGCTGGCCCAGCCTGCGTGGCACCTTCCCAGAAGGCGGCCCCTGTGGGGTGCAGACGGGGCCAGCAGACATGTGCCCTCAGACCTCGAGCCGAGGGCATGGGAACAGCGGCTCCACCCTGGCAAAGCAGGCACCAGGTGGGCAAGGGCCGGTCAGGGCGAGCTCCCGGCTCTGCTGTCCCTGCCCCCATTAAGCCAGACCCTGTGAGAGTGCGTCTGGGTGTGAGTGTGGGTTGTGCCGGGCTGTTTGGGCTCGGGCGGGGGGAGGGGCTGGAGTGAAGGCCTTCGGGAGCTCGGCCGCAGGTGACAGGTGTGGCTGACGTGCTCCCTGTGTCTGGCAGGTGATGGACGTGCTGCACTCAATGGGCCCCGACACTGTAGTCATCACCAGCTCTGACCTCCCTTCCCCCCGGGGCAGTGACTACCTGACCGTGCTGGGGAGCCAGAGGATTCGTAAGTCCCACGCCCACCCCGCCAGGGCACCGAGCTCCCTTGCGCCTTTACGCTGCGTGTCCCTTAAAGCTTCTGAGAAGGTTTTGGGATCAGTAGAAAGAAAACCATGCCTTACTCAGGAAGGAGTCAGTTTCCTGAACTTCTGTAACCACCCCCACCCTGAGAAAGGTGAGACTAAAGACAGAATGAGGAGGGATTTCCATGAATCGGGTGCAGTGGAGCATGGGGTGCCGACACCTCCCCCATGTCACCAAACAGCCCTCAAGACCCATGACAGCGCCAGTGGCAGGCGGAAAATGGTCTGACTTACATACGGAGATCCTGGGGACAGCCCTGCTGGAGCCAGGCTTCCGGGAACCAGGTGTCCACACGCCTGACCTCCCGTGGAGCTGGGATTGGTGCCGGCCTCACTGGGAGGGCGCACCACGCTCTGCTGTGTTCATGGTCTCATCACACAAGTGATGGTTGGTGTGCTCTGCACAGCGTTGAAATGATGCAGGAGGCTGGGGCCACACCCACTGCCCCAGAGAGCAGCCCCGTAGGCACCTTCTTCTTCTTCTGTATCTGTGTGCAAGAGCACATGTGCACAGATACACACTCACACATACACACACGCACAGCTATACACTCACATGCGCTCACATATACACTCACGTGCACACACATGCACAGATATACTCACACATGCTCACATGCAGACACACACTCACATACACTCACATGCACAGATACACTCACACATACACAGATACACACTCACATATGCTCACATATACACTCACAAATGCACACACATGCTCACACACACAAGCACAGATACACACTCATACACACATGCACAGATACACACATACACTCACATATGCTCACATGCACAGATACACTCACACATGCACAGATACATACATGTGCTCACACACACACGTGCACAGATATACTCACACATGCTCACATGCACAGACACACACTCACATACACTCACATGCACACACATGCACAGATACACACTCACATATACTCACATGCACACACATGCACAGATACACTCACACATGCACAGATACACACTCACATATACCCACATATACACTCACAAATGCACACACATGCTCACGCACACAAGCACAGATACACATTCATACATGCACACACATGTACAGATACACACTCTTACACTCACATGTACATTCATACATGCTCACATGTGCACAGATACACTCACACATGCACACACATATTCACACACATACAGATGCACATTCATACACTCACACATGCACAGATACACACACACTCACACATGCTCACATGCACAGATACACACGCTCACATATACGCTCACACATGCATGCACACACTCACATTCACACACACATGCATATGTACACTCACACACTTGCTGACACACACATACCCACGTCAGCAAGTTCACAAAGGCCTACAGCTCTAGGCGCCTGGTTACTCAGGCTCCCTCCTCACATCTCACGAGCCAGCCGTCAGCAGATGCACAGTTCCCCCCAGGCCGTCCTGACTGTGGTCATCTGGGGCTTCGGTCTTTCACTTTGTTTGTTTTTTCACCTGAGGATATTTTTCTATTTATCATCAGATAGCGTGGGAGGGATGGAGAGAGAGAGAAAGACAGAAACATTGACATGATAGAGCTACGTCCACAGATTGCCTCCCGTACAACCTGACCAGGGTCAGGGATGAACCGCACCCGAGGTACGTGCCCTTGAACGGAACTGAACCGACAACTCATTGGTTTGCAGGTCCACACTGTAACTGCTGAGCCAAACCGGCCACGGCCTGTCTTTCACTTTGTGCCCTGGGATGGGACATCCGCTTGGGGGCACTGGGGGCACTGGGCAGGCCCTGAGCCTGGGGTTCTGTCTGAGTGAGCCTCCATGGGGACATTACTCCCCTCGCACAGTGCAGGGGATGAGCAGGCAGGAGGGCAAGCTGGGGTTCAAGCCTGGGCAGGCCCTCTGCTGGCCAGGGCCCGGGTCCCAGTGGACCATACTCTCCCCCAGGGCACCCTGATGGCTCCGTGGTGGTAGAACGCATCCGCATGGATATCCGCAAGGTGGACGCCGTCTTTGTGGGCACCGGAGACCTCTTTGCTGCCATGCTCCTGGCGTGGACACACAAGCATCCGAACAATCTCAAGGTCAGGAAGGCGCCCCTCCTGCCGCAGCCGATGCGTTCATCTCTGTGGGGAGTGGTCACACATCCAAAGAGCTGGAGGGTGCGAGGGTTACCGACCGTGAGTTTTGAGGGGGCACAGGACAGGCAGTGGTCTCCATGTCATGCTCCACATCTTGGCTGAATCCTAGCTCCACCCCTGTTCACCATCTCTCGTCTTGAGCAAGGTGCCAGGCCCAGCCCACAGGTTCCTGTGCCAGCTGAACTCAGGGCATGAGCTCAGGACTGAGGAGCCCCTTCCAGCAGAGTGGTCAGCACAAGCTTGTCCTCACGTGTCACTGGGCTGATTTGGTAAATCGGGGTGCGGGGTCTTTTCTGTGCACACCGTGGTCCAGCTCAGGACTCAGGGCTGCGTCCTTTGACCTCCCCCTGCATCCGTGCAGCCTTGTGGTGTCTTATCAAATTGCTCTGTCAGACGCCCCCTCGGCTGACAGCCAGGCCTGTCTTCCGTCACCGTTGTAGAAACGCTGTCAGGTGGGTGAGGCCCGCCGTCCCCTGAATGTGGGAAGGGCATTTGTGGGGAGTAGGAGAGAGGAACCAGACTTCCGTCTCCTTGGATCCACTCAAAAAGGGGAACGTTTGGAGCTCAGGGTCTAGAAATGGACTCCGTTGAAGCTGTCTTTGCAGAGCACCTGGAGGGCCCATCCCCCGGGGGCCCATGCCTCCCCAACACATCTGGGGGTCGGGCTCTGTGTTTGTGCAAAGCAAGGCTTACACTGGGGTCCCTCTCCTCTCACCTACTAGTAGAAGCCAAAATATGCCATCCCTGGCTGGTTTCACCACTTCCTGCCTCCCCCGAGGCCCAGCCTGCAGTGAGCACAGACCTGCCGGTTAACTGGAGCAGCAGGAGCTCCATCCGGTCCAGGCAGTGGCATCGCTGCTGGACCGAGCCTCGCTGCTGGGCCTCTGAAGGCTGAGTCTGGGGGGAGGGGGAGCCCTGGGTCCTGGAGTCGGGCAGAGTTCTCGCTTCCCCAGCACCTGCTGAGCCCCGAGTCTGACTCTGAGACTTCGACTGTGAGCGATGACTTTGTCCGACCTTGGGGCAAGAGTTCTTTCCCATGTAGATTCTTGATAATTAATTCATCCCAGAAACATTTATTAAGCACCCACTCCATGTCAGGCAATATTGATGGTCCGGGGTCACAGCCCCTCCCCAGAGCTATCTGTGGTCCAGACGGGGGCAGGTTAGTTACGCAGGCATCTGCTTAGCTCTGTTCTGTGGGTTGATGGCCCAGGTAGTCGGGCGAGGGTGTGACTCAGGGTGGAGACAGCGCTCTCGGGCAGCGGTGGACAGCGTGGTGAGTGGGCGGTCTGGAGTGTGGCAGGGACAGTGGTTCCTCCTCCCTGCAGGTGGCCTGTGAGAAAACCGTGTCAGCCATGCACCATGTTCTGCAGCGGACCATCGAGTGTGCAAAAGGTACCACCGGCAGGGCTGGGGCGCCACGGCGTTCCTGAGAGCCTCCTCGATGGGGGCCTTGGGCAGAGGTGGGAGGGAGGGAGGCAGCACCTGCTCAGCTGAGACTGGGGTCCCCGCGGCCCCCACCGTCCACCCGGCCTTGGCCTTAGGGATGGGGCAGTCCTCCCGCTCCGCCCCCAGGCCCATGCTTTGTCTGTTTTGTAGCCCAGGCTGGGGCAGGATGTAAGCCCAGCCCGGCCCAACTGGAGCTGAGGATGGTCCAGAGCAAAAGGGACATCGAGAACCCGGTGATTGTCGTCCAGGCCACGGTGCTGTGAGGGCCTCGCGTTTCCACCTGCTGATGCAGTGTCGGTGTCTCTGTCTTCATCCCTGTGAACAATGTAACGTCTGCCTTAGAGCTGTGACCGAAACTTGACATTTCTTTTCTTTCCTGAGTGTCCAGCACCAGCTGGTCTTAATTGTGAAAATGTGCCAGTCGTGCTTTTTAAAAATAACAAATTGATCACAGAAATTTGTCACCTGGAGACCCGGCTCCCCTCCCCCACAAAGGCTCCTGGGTCTCCCTGGAAAACCAGCTCTGTGGTCACCCTCTAGCGGCATCCTCCCCAGCTGGGGGGGGCGGGGTCCGTGGTGGGAGGGGACATGGGCTCCCCCCATTGCATGGCCCCGGTGCAGCATGGGCTGGGCCTGGGGGTGGCCGATCTCCAGTGTCTCCGAGAAAGAGTTTGGTGTTAACCATTCGAATCCAGTCAAATTAGGCCGAATACCTTTGTTGTCATTCTGACTTTCCCCTCTCGGTTCCTCCTTCAGGACTTTGGTTCACTTTGCTGCTCGGTAGGTTGGTGGGCATTTCAGAAATCCTGCGTCCGTTTCATCGTGGGGACAGGTTGGTGCCAGCTGGCCCAGACACACACGGGCCTGCACAGTCACTTTGGCAGGGACCTTCCAGGCAAACCCAAGTCTACAAATCTGACGGGTATCAGCGGGACCGCCCGGTGACTCACAAGTGTCTCTAGGGACCTGCTGAGTGAGGTGCAGAGATGCCAGGAAAGGGAAGGCTGGTGTGGGGCCAGGGGTGTCTGGGGAGATCCCATGCTGGGTTCCTTTGGAAAACTCACCCAGTTTATGGTACAACAGCTTGAGTAGCATGTGTTTGCCACCTGCTGCTGATGACAAACACATCGTGCCACAGAGTTAGTGTGCAGACGGCCCGGAGGGCAGAGGTGGGCTCCCGCCCCCACAGTGGGCACATTCCGCCCCAAGGCCCTGCTGTCCACTGCCAGCACGACCTCCTTGGCTCCACTTGCCCAGAATTTTGAGGTACCCTGGGCATGGCTACAGGCAGGGGTGCCCATCCTAAAGACAGCCTGCCTTGATCTCAGCTCTCTGGGGGGCAGAAGTTTGCAGCTCCTGAGAGCCCACAGCCTGGAGGGGACGGGGAGATGCAGGACATGGGGGTCCACATGTGGCCCCTGGGAAAGAAAACTGTCCAAGGGGAGCCCTTGTCTCGCCCCAGTTCCACCCTCAGGCAGGGCCCGCACACTTCCTCAGTTGCACACTCTCCACTTTGTAGAAAAGCCCTAAAAGAGGAGGTGCCACTCTTCGTTGAACTCCATCCCCACTCTGTTCTCTTTCTGTCCCCACTCACTTCTGTTGTCTTTTTTTTTGTGGTGGTACGTGCCCCTAGTGGGAACTGAACCCGGGACTCTCTGGTCCACAGGTTGACGCTCAACCACTGAGCCAAACTGACCAGGGCTCCCCACTCACTTCTGAATGTCTTCACTCGCGGTGGCCTGTGCACAGGGTCTCTGTCCCTGTCATGTTTCTTGGTTCCGAGGCCCAGGCTCAGCGCCAGGGCAGAGCCTGGCCCCCTGGTCCCCGCAGGGCCCACTGGACCAGGAGTAGCCTGCAGCCCAACAGGGTGCACGCAGGCCCCATCCAGAGTCACCCAGGGCCCTGGGCCTGCGCAGCGCCTTTAATGGAAAATGCTGCCACCGCCAAGTAGAGCCAATGAGAAATGGTCTTTATTCCTTTTTTTAGTTCAATATCAAGAGCCAGTATAGGGCTGGGAAAAGAAGCCAAACGTATCTGTCTTCCACGCGATGGTGAAAACCCACCCGGGAAATACGGTCTGGGGTGCTGGGCTCATCCCCTGTCCAGAGAGCTTGAAGGGACGTGCGCCCCCAAACACCGTTCGGTTCTGGTTCTTCGGTGTTATTGCAGAGGCTGGGCCCCTGGGAGGTTTCACTGTTCTGCTTCCCTGCCTTCTACACGGAGCGACGAGGCTCACCCCACCCCAAGGCTTCTGGGCAGCTGCGGACCCAGGCGCCCCGAGACTCGCTCCTCTGTGCCCTTTGGCTGTAAAGCCCTGGCCACCAGGAGACGCGGCTGAGCTAAGAGAAGGAACTTGGGGATCCTGAGATCTTCTGCAGGGTGTGGGGCTCCCGTGGAAACGTGAGCTTCCGCGGGAAGCCGAGCCCCGCGCTCCCACACCCACGTCGCTGAGCCTGTGCAGTCTGGGCTCGTCTCTCATTCGCACGTGCTGTCTGTCACGCAGCCGGCCGCCTCTGCAGTGTCCCATCCAGACGTCAGCCCTGGGCCCTGGCAGTAGTTTTTCATACAGGTGGGGTCCAAATTAGAATTGATCTTCGTTTTCATTTTATGTAACTTAGTAACATGCAACATGATAATAGTTTTTGTTAATGTGGAAGAGTGTTGTCAGAGTGCAGATTTCTATTTTTCCCGTGGGTCAGACCTCCCCTGTGGACCTTACATACGAATTATAAAGCTGGGATGTGGATCCCTGTTTTTAACCAGTCTTAAGTCGTCGCCAAGTCCTGCTGAGGTAATCGTGTTAGAGTGCGTCACTTTTACAGTACATGTCAGTGACGGTGACACCGATGCTCTGTGGTCCGTTCTTACACTTGTGGGTACCGGTTTTTAAAAGTTTCACTTCCCAGTGGACGGAGCCTGCTTGGTGCACCTGCTCCGAGTAAGTGGAAGGAGTTTTCAGTGTTGAGAACACAGGCCACAGCACACTGCCTGCCCCGTGCTGCCGGAGCCCCATGGAACAGCCAGCCACCTCCCCGCCACCACCAGCCACGTGAGAGGAGCACATGGGAGCAGCAGGCCCCTCCGCGAGGCCCGTTGATGCAGGATCCTTGGCTGTGGGAGGAGGCAGGCTGTGCGGGTGAGCGGACATGAGGCGGCTGGGATGTGGATGTCCGGGGACCGCTCCTGTCCCTGCTTGAACCTTATGTGCACCCCTCAGTTGTAATGTACACAGAAGGAGGCAAGCATATTCTGGCCACTGGACCTCCACTGTACGCACACTCTCCTTGTCCTTCCTGCCCTTGGATGGGACCAACCTGCCTGCCTGGGTGTCAGGGCCACATCTGTGTGAATCAGAGACGCTGCGTGGCTGGCCTGTGTTCAGTGCCCGAATACCCAGGAAGCCCTGTGCTCCCTCTCTGCCCGCCCGGCCTCTGGCGCCTTTGTGCACAGCCCCCCTGGGAGCCCCCCTGCCAGTACCTGCCTGGGCTGGACGGCGGGGAGGGGAGTTTGTGGGTGAACGGACTGGATTACGTGCAGGTGGGGACATTGTAAGTGTGGCCTGGCGTCCGGAGTCTGGGTGGGAGCCACGTGGCCCCCAGATTCGATTTTGCCCCCCAATAGAGCAGTGCTACTGAGCCCACCTGTTTTCATTCCACACCACCTCCAGCTGCCAGGCTGCAGGGTTTTCCCTTCTCGTCATCCTGTAAGGCTCTGTGCATTAGGACTCCCTGGAGAGCCACTTCCTGTGTCCCTGCAGGGAGCATGTCGGGTGTGCAAGCTGAGGGGGCACTCAGAAGGACCCCCAGCCCCGGGGAGGTGGCTCTGGGAGGTTAGGTCCCCTGCTCTAAGCCAGGGAAGCCCTGGACTTGGGCCCAGTTGGTCTGGAGGGACATCATCCCCCAGGACGCCTACTGCCTGCGGTTCTGCCCATGAGCACTGGTCAGGCTGACCTGGCAGCACAGTGACCGAGGGCCAGCAGCTGTGTGGCTTTGGGCCTGTGCAGAGTTGGTGGGTGGTGCTGCAGTCAGTCACTTCGTGACAGGCGCAGAGTCGGGTACCTGGCAGGTCTGCAGGTGAGGGGAGCATCATGAGACCCTGTGTGTTTTTGTAGAGACGGTTCTGGTTTCAAGATACAGCCACGCACTTCCAGCCTGTGCCAGTAGGGGGAGACAGCAGAGGGAGGGGATGGTGGGCTGGGAGGGGTCCTTGGCCCCACCCTAGTAGATTGCAAGCATCAGCTCTGCTTCTGAGGGGTTTCTTTCCTGTAAAAGTCTTTCTCTGTCCAGTGATGGCCACCAGGCTTTGTAGTCTGCGCTGATGCACAGAGGTGGGGTTCCCGCATGTGTCCCATCCCCCGCTGTGCCCCAGAGGCTCCTCCCGGCATCAGCCACCACCACCATCTGGAAGCCCCCCCAGAGGAAAGCTGCCACGCGGGGGGCTCACAGTTCTCGCAGTGCCTGTGTCTTCTTGTGGATGTCTGCAGTTTATTCTCAGTGCAAAGTGTTTTCTGTTTTAACCGATTAAAAAACAATGTCTTACAAACACATTCCTGCCTTTCATTAGAGATTTGAGCTCATAACACATTGTTCGTTCTGTTCGTAAGACAGAGATCAACGAGTAACTTTAGGTCTGCCTTAGATAATATTTTAAAACTATATTAATGGAAGGCCCTTCGTAGAATTTTCTTTTTAAATGCTGGCAGAGTAAACAGGTGTTTTAAAACCTTGTCCACTGTCCAAGCCAAGCAGAGCCCTGTGCCCACCTCCGCCCCTGCTTCGAGGTGGCGGGGAGAGCTTCACCGCGGCGATGGAGGGAACCCCCAACCTGCAGCTCCCCTGTGCCCGGCCCCACCCCACAGTGGCTGAGTTCTGATCTTTGTGGAGCAGGAAGCCCCTTCTGCAGGACATGACCTTCCGAGGCCACGGGTCACTGCCAGCCGGCGGGAGAGTGAGGGCCAGCCCTTCCCAGTGGTGCCATCCTGAGCCCACACGCAACCCTTGTCTTGGTGATGGGAGGTGTGGATATTAATATTTAGGAAACTGGAAAGGAATTCTTAGTCTCCATGCAGGCCAGGGGTGTTTTGAATGCTTTTAATGCTGGAGCTATGTACCTTCTAGTTTAACATTTTAGTTGGCATTTCACCCAATGATTGCAAAACGGGACGAACAGGAGGACTGAGGTGCTGACTCGGAGCCCCGCTGATGCCGCCTCGGTCCCTCCTGGAAAGGAGCTTGGATTCTCGAGGCTTCTTGGGAGGTGTGGTGCAGCTTGGGAGCAAAGCGCGTGGCCCTGGGTCCCAGCTGTGAGCGGGACAATCTCTATGAGATTCAGACAGTGGTTCCGTCAGCCCCGTGGTGGCCAGCCCAGCCCATCGTGGACACGTGGACGTGTTTGTGACTGTGACCCACCCGTCAGCACTGTAGAGGCCTGTCTGTGCTGTCCTGTCAACCTCTGACCCCACAAATAAATATTTTCATGGCGATGGTGGTGAAGCGTGAACGTTTGTTTTCTCTGGATTCCCCCTTTAGCCATCTGTGCAGCACGGTGTTAACCAAGCCATGGCCATTGCTGCCCCTTCAATGCCTCAAAGAAAGGGCCTGGCGCTGGCTGGTGTGGCTCAGCGGGTTGGACACCGCCCCACCCCGGAAAAGTGGCGGGCTCCATCCCCAGTAGGGGGCGTGCAGAGTGCGGCCCACTGATGTTTCTCTCTCTCTAAAAATCAATGAAAAATATTTAAAATGGAAAAGAAAGCCCTGGCCGGTTTGGCTTAGCGGTTGGAGTGTAAGCCCGAGGACCAAAAAGTTGCAGGTTCGATTCCAGTCAAGGCCACGTACCTCGGTTGCGGTTCATCCCTGGCCCTGGTCAGGTCATGCGGGAGGCAGCCAGTTGAACATCCTCACATTGATGTTTCTCTCTCCCTTCTCTCCCTCTCTCCCTCCCACTCTATCTGAAAATAAATAGAATAATATCCTCAGGTGAGGATTAAAAAGAAAAAAAAGACCTGCCCTGCCCTGCCCTGCCCTGCCCTCAGTGGCCCAGGTCTCCATCTGGGCACTGCCTGTGTGTCCCAGGCAGTGGGCTCCTGCCCTCAGGGTTCCTGCAAGACCCTCCCGGGGATCAGAGGAGGGTGGGGCTCTCTTTTCTGGCCCAGCCCTGCCAGATTCTGAGGACCAGCTCTGGCCATTGATCAAGCATCACTGCCACTTCTGAGTTCTAGTCCCTTCACAACTGGGTGGTGACAGCTCTGGTCCTGCCAGCCCAGCAGGTTCCATACTCCCACACTTTTGTCAACTCTCAGGCCATCCCCTGTAACCAGGCTCTGAGACTGGCAAGGAGAGGGCGGAGGATGTGGGATCTGCTTCCTGTCTGAAGCACCTGACTCCACCTCTTTTTTTTTTTTTTTCTTCTGTAGGTGCCCCTAGCGGGAACCGAATCTGGGACCCTCTGGTCCGCAGGCCGCAAACTGGCCAGGGATGTCTCCACCTCTTAATCCCCTCTGCCTACCCTGCTGCTTAGCTGTCTCTGCCTGCACAGCTTGAGAATTCGGGCCTGACTCAGGGCTGGGTGGGTCCCTTGAATCACCGTCTTCCTGGTGCTGGAGAAATAGATGGCACTGACCAGTGGCTTGGCAGCATGCAGAAAGGGACAGAGTGGACAGCACCTCCAGAGGCACACAGAGGGAAGGGGGGCCACTACCAGCTTAGTGTGAAGGGCTAACTGGTAGGCCAGTTACCAGAATCCAAAGGGAAGTCCTGGAGAAGGGAGGGCACTGCCCGGAGTCCCTGCGGTGATCCCTGCAGCATGTGGCTGGGGGACAAAGGGAGAGGGCGTCCCCTAGGTCTGCGCCCGGGGCCCAGGGTGGGCAGAGGAGGGGCTGGGCCTGGTGGGCAGATGGAAGAGCTCCAGCTCAGCATTGTCCCCCAAACCCTCTGCCAAAGGTGCCCCCCAAACTGGCTCCAGCTTACTGTCCCGGTTTTATTGAGGTGAAAATCACAGAACAAACACCTAACAGTCTTAAAGTGCACAGCCCGGTGGCACTGAGTACACTGCAGTGTACCTGCCACCTCTCTCGTTTCCCAAATGTCTCACCACCCCGGGAGCACAGCCCGCACCCGTGAAGGGGTCTGTACTGGCAGTGACAGCTGCCTCCATCGGGGCTCCCTGCCTGCAGGGCATGGGCTGGCAGCCCTGCTTAGCACCCGAAATGCTAGCTCCCCCTGCCTGTCCCTGGAAGTCCCAGGTGGAACTGTATTAGGTCTTCACTTCAGTGCAAAACTGCTTGACTCCGTTTGCAAAGAGTAGTAGCATGTCATGAAAGGTTTGTGTTCTTACAGTTCCCGGAGAGGTCAGGACACACAGCTTATTCTTCAGATTTCTTACAGTCACTTTCCAGGTTTCGCCTGCTCACCGTTCCAGCCTTCCATGCGCTTCATAACCTCATGACCCAGACAGCCTGACCCTGGCCCAAATGCCACACGCTGCACCTTGACCCTGAGCCACATAGATAGAAATTTTGTCAATCATTACTCATGCTGGGGGCACTCTTTTTATCTTTATTTTTTAAATGTTTTATTGATTTTGTTTTGTTTTTTTTCTCTCTTTTTTTTTTTTATCCTCACCCGAGGACATTTTTCCATTTTTTTGTTCAGGAAGAGTGGGAGGGAGAGACAGAAAGAGAGAGAGAGAGAGAGAAACATCGACGTGAAAGGGACACATCGAGTGGCGGCCACCCACACGACCAACCAGGGCCAGGGACAAACTGCAACAGAGGTACACGCCCTTAGCGGGAACTGAACCCGGGTCTCTCGGGACCGCAGGCTGATGCTCTAACCGCTGAGCCAAACCGGCCAGGGCTGATTTTGTTTTTTTAAAGCAAGACGGGAGAGAAACATCCATGTGAGAAAGATTGATCAGCTGCCTCCTGCACGCTCCCTTCTGAGGATCAAGCCCGCAACCCAGGCATGTGTCCTGAGCAGGAATTGAATCAGGACCTCTCTCAGTCCAAGGGACAACACTCGGTCTACTGAACCACACTGGCTGGGCTCAGGGGCACTCTTTTTAATTCTATTTCATTATAAAACACAGGGCAAACCAGGCAGTGGATTGACTTCACTTATGGGCATGACCCTGTGAAAACCGAAAGGGTTTTACAACACATGATCTTGCCAGATGCTCAGGCTCTGAGCATGTGCAGCTCAGCTCAGCGGATGAGCTAAGAGCCTTCCAGGCTGACTATGCTCAGGACAACTGTGCAGCTAGTTTGCAGGACACTATGGCACCTACAGTGTCACTGCACCTGTGTATCACTACAGAAATGTCAAGTGTGTGACTATGTCTGAGCATGTCTAGAGCTAATGTTCTAGAATCAGGTTCACTCAAATCCTTTTACTTATCCTTGGGGGGAACCAAGGTCTGGAGATAGGATGCAGAGCCCAGGCAACAGTGTGCAGACCTGTAGCTGGAATAGACCCCGGAATCCTGGGTTTACCACCCACTTGCTGTGCCCTGGGACCACCTCACTGGGCTCCCCTCCTCAGGTGGGGGGTCTCCAGCTGGCTCAGAAATAACTCTGTAAACACGCCTGGACACTTCTATATGGTAAGCATGGTTTCGGACGAAGAAAAAAATCCAAAACGAAGGAGAAAATTTGCAAAGATTTAAAAATATATGTATTTAGAGATAATCTAAGCCATCTTAGAAAGCAATTTAGGTAAGGTCATTAATTGGGAGGAGAATCGCACTGTTAACGTCATAAACAGAATCCACATTGGTACAGAACAGCCCCTTCCATCGAGAAGGGCACAGCAAGGGACATCGTTCACTTAGGATCCCAGACATGCGATCGCAGATGACAGAGATGGACGACAGGCTCAGTTCAAAACCCAGAACTAGAAATAGCTCAGCTTATCTTGCTTGGTCTTGTTGGTCTGATAGCCGTGCAAGACCAAGGCTTTGTTTTCATGTGGGAGACTTTCAAACACTCGAAGGTGTACGAAGTCATCATCTTCAACTTGAACCTGCAAAGACAGAGTCGAGTGAGGAGGGCAGCAGGTAGGTACTGCCTCTGACCCCATGTCCCAGTGCTCGACTGGACTAGGTGACAAAGGCCCTGGGTGCGCGGAGGCCGCGTCCCTTCAGGGCATCAGCAACTAGACTGATGACATTCCCATCTTCTTCCTTCGGGCACAGCACATGCCCATCGCCCCAGCCGGTACCCTCGGCTCCCCACATTTGCTCCTTGGAGCCCGTAGCTGCCCAAAAGGCTCAGTCCTCTCCCCCACGGAGGCCTGCATGCATACACACACTCATTTTAGAGGGGAGAAGTCCCCTGAAGCTGGGGGCTGCCACAGGACCCCCTTTAAGGACCCCTGTCCTGGCACCTACGAGCCCCGCTACCCACGTCTGCATGAGCAGCCGTGTAGCTGACACCCACCTTGATGAAGTAGTTGGTCCCCGCGACCACCTGGGTCTGGAACTCCACAGCCTTAAAGGTGCTGTACTTCTTGTTTTCCTTCTCCTCCAGCTGGGCTTTCACCTGGGGGGGGGGGGGGAAGGGAACACTCTGTGGCTTCCTTCCTGCAAGAGTCACTGACCAACGCCTGAGCTTCCGCCCCACACGGAATGTCACGAACTGACCTCTAAGGCCCACCCTTCACAGATTTTTGTTGTTGTTGTTAATCCTCACCGGAGGATATTTTTCCACTGATTTTTTTTTTTTTTAGATAAGAGTGGAAGGAAGGGAGGGAGGGGGAGAGAGAAAGAGAGAGACAGACGGGCACAATGTGAGAGAGACATCAACTAGGGCTGGAGATCGAACCTGCAACCCAGGTACGTGCCCTTGACCAGGAATCAAACCCACGACTCTTTGGTTCTCAGGCCAATGCTCTTACCACTGAGCAAAACTGGCCAGGACAACCCTGTTTTTCTTTTTTTTACTAACACGTAAATAGTTCTTTGAATGTGTATAATTTTTAATTACTCTTTTAAAATTAAAAACTAAGAACAGTTTAAAAAATTTAAAGTTAATTTTTTTTTATCCTCACCTGAGGACATTTTTCCATTTTTTGTTCAGATAGAGCGGGAGGAAGAGAGAGAGAGAGAGAAACATCAATGTGAAGGGACACATCGAGTGGCTGCCACCTGCACGACCAACCAGGGCCGGGGACAAACTGCAACCGAGGTACATGCCCTTAGCGGGAACCGAACCTGGGTCTCTGTGTACCGCAGGCCGACGCTCCAACCGCTGAGCCAAACCGGCCAGGGCGATTTTAATTTTAGATTTAATCTCCCATCTTACAGATGTGCCTTAATTCTCTTAACTTCCCCCATACTGGGCACGTAGGCTGTTCCAAGTTCTCCTGTAACAGGCGAGGCAGCAGAGAAAGTGCTTTGCAGGTGAAGGTGCCTTCCTGCATTTTCGATTGACTTCCTGAGGACACCGTACGGGCCCTTTGGGCAGAGGCTGATCCTGACCCTAAGTCTCAAACAGGAGCCACACTTTTGGTTCAGTCCTTTCTCCCAGGATCTTGGCCTCACTGGAGGATATTTTTCTATTTATTTTCCAATAGAGTGGGAGGGAGAAAGAGAGAGACACATCGATCGGTTGCCTCCCTCATGACCCCAACCAGGGCCAGGGACCAAACTGCAACTGAGGTACATGCCCTTGACCGGAATTGAACCCGAGACTCTTTGGTCCGTGGGCCAACACAATACCGCTGAGCCAAACCGGCCAGGGCTTGGCCTCCTATTAACCGAGCATCTTTATGGAGGAAGGAGAGGCAGGTTTGTTTGTTTTTTTGTTTTGTTTTTATTTTAAAATCTAATTTAATTTCAAGGTCTCTGGCTGCTATCCGGGTGAACTGGTAGGCACTGGAGCATGTTCAGACTTTGGCTGGAGTGACTAATTCTAGAGTGTTAGAGGATTTTAGTTAGAGCAGCAGCAGGGAGTAGGCTAGCTGTTGGGATCCAACGGGGATCACCCTCATTACAGTCAAGTGAGTCACTGTGGTCTCCCTGCAACTTCAGGGAGGGGCCCTCACTAGGCATAAGAAGGACAGGAAGGAGGATCAGGGCGGGAAAAGGCAGGCGGGCCCACCCTGCTGCTGCCCTCTCTGTGCAGCTGGGTTCTCACTGTGGGCCTACCTGTGGCACCCTTGTGCAAGGTGCGGTGCTTGGTCTGCAGGGATCTGAGCCTGCAGATAGTAGACACGCCTCAGGGGATCAGTGACACACCGAAATCTTCCAGAAAGTCTGGGAAGGAGTCACCTCCCTCTTGGCCTGTCTCATGAGTGAAGGCAGGAACATCCCGGCCGTTTGCAAGGAATGGTGGGAAAATCCAAATGTAGGCGATGGCACTGGGAATGTGGCAGCCTCCAGGCCACTGCCTGCGGTGACAGGTCACTGATACTGCTGTTGACCAGCAGAAAGATGGGCAAGACTTCGAGCCAAGGGGAGCACAGATGGCCGGCCCAGGGATGGTTAGGTAGATGCCAGTTACCAGCCCTCAAGGGGCCAGGGAAGGCCAACGTCAGGACTGGTGGGCACACCTTGAGGAGGCTGAGACAGATTTGGGGCTTTGACATCCTTCTGGCTGGGGCGCTCTCTCTCTGACCTGAAGCCCAGAGTGCTTGGGGAGGGGTCAATACGAGACGGTGTCCAGCCAAAAGCCCCCCTCAGGAACTGCCTCCCAACAGCAATGGTGACTGCCTCTTACTTGTCACTTCCAGGTGACCAACACCAAATTAAGGAGCCCAAGACAATAAGTCCTCTCTCCTGAATGGGCTCACGCACATTCAAAGTTCATGTAACCAGGGGGGAATTTCGTAGGCCTGGACAACCAGGGATGGCAAGGCTCTGTGGGCAGCGTCGGGGAGGCACCAGGAACCTCTGCCCCAGCTGAATCACCACGCAGTCCCTGCAAATTACTCATTTTCAAAGTCTCCAGGGACTGACTCACCACCTTTCACTGTGGTCAGATGATCTAAACCACATGAGCAAAGGCAGGTGCTATGCTATCGGTTAGGGAAGCAGCAGGGGGCAGACTTCCAGGTTTGTCCGTCTTCCTGTGGCCCCACCATCTCACCTTCCCGGGAACCTTCTGTGAAGGTACCTTAGTGATGCCCACTTTACAGAAAAGGGAACTGAGGCACGGGAGTCCAGCGCTGCCCAGGGTCTGGGCCAGGCTCTGCCTCTGCATTGCAGCCTGGTTTCTGTTCGTTTTTAAAAACGTGTATTTGGAGATCATTCCAAACTTACACAAGGAGTAGCACCAGGACAGGAGGGCAGGTGTAGGACCCCCGCAGACCCTTCTCCGGGCTGGCTGCCCGGTGACCCCACCCAGCTCTCTGGTTTTCCCCCGGGCAGCCCGAGGCCCAGCACACTAGGCCCTTCCGTCCGAGCGCCTCTGTGCCGTCCCCCAGATCCGGGCCCCTTGGGTCCCCGTCCCAGACCTGTCCCCGGCCGCGGCCTTGCAGCCGCTGCCCGTCTGCGGACCGACCCACCTACCTTGTCGGTGATGGCCTGGACCTCGGCCGTGGCGGGCCGGGTGTCGGAGCACCCACCGCACATCATCCTGGGAGCGGGCTTGGCGGGCAGCGGGCACGGAGCAGCAGGGGGCACGGAGGAGCCGACTGCGAGTGTGCCGGCTGTGAGGACGACCCTCCTTTAAGCCCGCAGGCCCACGTGACGCAGATCGGAACCGCGAGGGGCGGGGCGCGGTCCGGCGCGAGGGGCGGGGCGCGCGGGGCGGGGCGGGCGGGAGGTGGTGGGCGTGGTGGGTGTGGCGGGTGTGGAGGAAGCGGGGGCGGGGGGCGGGAGATCGGTGAGGGACGGGCGCATTGCACAACCTGGAACCCCCGCCGAGGGCACCGCCTGGGTACAAGGGCGGTGTGTGCAGGGCGTGTCCCCTGCTGCCCGGAATTCGGTGTTGGTCTCAATGGCCGCGAAGAAGAGCGGGACGGGGTGGTGGTGGTGGTGGTGCAGGGCGTGTGTGGGTGTGTGTGTGTGTGTGTGGGGGGGAAGGGGGGGTCAGAAGGCTGAGCCCCTGGCTAGGCATGGGCTGAAAGGAAGCAGAACATGTCACCCCAAAAGTGCCACTTTTGCATGCAGCTTATTTTGAGCAGAAGGCCACCAAGGCCCAGCCATTGGGGATGGGGAGGGGAACTTGCACCTCTCCCTTAATTGTCTAAAGCGTTTAGGTAAGGCCCTGGCCCCTGTGGCTCATTTGCTTTGAGCTTCCTCCCATGCACCCAAGGGTCGCCGGTTCACCGAAGGTTGGCAGGTTTGATTCGGGTCAGGGAACATATCCAGGTTGCTGGTTCCATCCCGGGTTGGGGTGCGTGCAGGAGGCAGCTCATGGTGTTTCTCACACCGATGTTTTTTTATGTGTTTTTTTCCTCTCTTCCTTGCCTTTCCCCTCTCTCTAAAATAAAAGGGAAAAATTGTATTAAAAGCATTTAGGTAGGGAGCCCGGTGCAGAAAGAGAGCAAAGAGCACAGATAACTTTTTTAATCCTCACCAGAGGACATTCTTCCATTTATCTTCAGACAGAGAGGGAGGGAGGGAGGGAGGGAGGGAGGGAGAGAGAGAGAGAGAAACATTGACATGAGAGGGACACATAGACTGGTTGCTTCCCGCATGACCCTGACCAGGGCTGGGAACCAAACCAAAACCGAGGTATGTGCCCTTGACCAGAATCAAACCTGTGACTCTTTGGTTCTTGGGCCGACGCTCCAACCGCTAAGCCAAACCGGCCAGGGCAATTTCTTTTTTTTCATCTGAGTCTCACCTGCATGGCAGGTCAGACATCTGATTACCAAACATCTGCTCTTCCCATCTTCCTGTGATTTGCCCTCCTCCCCTTTGAAGCTGCAGACCCATATCTCAGTCCTTAGCTCCGGATGGCTATAGACCTCAGCTGCCTGACTGCTTTTGGATGTCATATTTTTGTGGGTCTTCATATATATGAAATTAAATTTGTTTTTCTCCTGTTAGTTTGTCCTATGTCAAATTAATTATTAGACCAGCCAAAAAACCTAGAAGGGAAGAAGGGAAAATTGTTCTTCCCCTATAGGGCCCTGCAGGGGACAGTCAACATTGGGTCCCATGAAGGGTGGGCATGGGTCCTACAGAGGAGATGGGGTCTGCTCTGGGATGGGATGGACATGGCCCTGCAGGGTAAATTGGGGATCATGGCTTTGGGCAGGGTTGAGTGTAAGTCCTGCAAAAGAGATCAGGGATCACCCCTAGGGTGGGGGGAGTAGTGGGGATGGGCATGGGCCCTGGAGAAGCCCTTGGGTGGCCCTGGCCCCATGCAGAGCAGGATACCAGGTGGGAGGGACCCAGAGGTGAGTGGGAACTGCATCTGAGAGTCACCAAGGGCAGTAGGGAGAGAAATCTGTGCCAAGTGGGCACCAGGAGTAGCTGCGGGGCAGGGGCTGCCAGGGCATCCTGGAGTCCAAGATCAGGCCCTGCCTGACCTCACTCCCAAGTGCATTGAACTGCCTTGTACTCCTCATCTGCAAGACCTGGCTCAGCACCCAGCTTGAGCCAGCTGCTCTGGATATCACCAGCATGTGACCCAGGAATATAGTAAAGGGCTGACGTGGGTGAACAGAGGAAGGAGGCACAAAGGACTCCAGTGATGAGATGACTCTCAGGGCCTCAGGGTGGGGTGTGAATAGTATTCCAGCTGCACGCCCCCTCACTCACCCACCCCCTGGCCAGGGGATGCTGGGCCTCTTCCACCAATGGGTGCTGACTACAGGAGCAGGCCCAGCCTGCCTTCTGTGGGGCCAGGTGCAGGTATGTGGAGGAGGCAAGCCTTTTCGGTACCTACCAGGGAAGAGCCTGGTCTGTAACTTCAGGGAAGCACAGGAGGCCAGTTTTGGGGTGAGGGGAAGGAGAGACCCCCACAATTCACTCATAATTGAATGAATGCATGTGTGAACAAAAAGGGAGCTACATAGCAGACCTGACAAGCTCTGGGGGCTACATGGTGGGCCTGATAAGCTCAGTGACTGAAACTAACCACATGAGGTGATCTGATCATAAATTCCTAGCTGGGCAGGTTGTGGTGGGTAATCACATCCCAGGCCTATAACTTCCTTGGTAAAAGGTCAATCTTTAAGCAAACCCTGTCCATTATTCTTATGCATCTAAGATGCCTTTGAAAAATCAGAGTAAATTTATTTTCTAGACCCCTTGGAGGCATAACCACACTGGCACCTATAGATGCCCCCAAACTTCTCACTGTTACCTTGTTGCTCACATACCACCTCTATTTACTGTAAATGCTAACTATCCTGTATTCACCAATGTAAAAGAAGTATGTGTTTCTCCATTTTGCTCCCTGGTAGTCAACTCACATGTGTTGTCAAAGCTCCTTGCTGGGGAGTTAAGCATGGCCTGTGTGACTCCACCTGGAGAGGATTCTGGAAGCTTCTTTCTGATGTCCCCTGGGCTCACTCTACATGCTTTTTTCTGTGCTGATTTTGCTTTGTATTCTTTTGCCATAATAAGTCATAGCCCTGCATTCTCCTAGCCAAGCAGATCAACAAGCCTGGGCTTGGGGTTCCCTGACACGTGGCCCTTTACAGAGAAAGTTTGCTGAGTCCATTCTGCATAAACAGAAACACTACATTGTCACATCTAAGAAAATAAACAATTATTCTGCACTATAATCTAACATCTAATCTATATGCAAGCTTCCCCAGTTGCTCCCAAAATGACTTATATAGCTTTTTGTTTTGTTAACCAGGATCCAATCAAGATTTGTATATGCATTTGTATATCCCCTCCTTTATATAGACATTCCTTCCTTCCTTCCTCCATGGCATTAACTCTGTGATGATATCAGGACCGTTGTCTTATGGACTGTCCCAGCCAGGGCGTGATTGCCTTCTTGTACATGCTGCGCTGCCTTCCTCCGGGCGGTGAAAGCTGGGGTACGGACCTGAAGGCTGGATGAGGGTCAGCCTAGACTGCCCACAGGTGATGCTGGTACGCGGATGCGAACCCCATCTTCAACTGCCTTTCTTGAGCCCTTGTGCCATTTTCTGATGACTTTCGCCTGAATCAGAAATTCACTGGGGGCTGCACAGGGTTTTCTCTAATTCTACCATTCCCCCTGCCCGTGCTCGCTGGCATTCTTTGCTAGAGAGCCTTCTGTCACCAACCAGGTTATACTGTCTAGTGCTGTCATTGCGGGGCCCGGCCACTATGCGGCGATGGCGTGCGGTCGGGACGAGACCCTCGCAGGCGCACGTCTTCCGGCGCGGTCCTGTGACGTCACGCCGCGCGACCAGGCGAAAGGGAGCGGCGCGGTCTTTCGTGCCTGGAGCGCTCAGTGGTGGTCGCCATGGTTCCGCGCGTGCAGCTCGCCCCCGAGATCCAGCTGGCGCAGCGCCTGGCAGGGAACGAGCAGGTGACCCGGGATCGGGCGGTGAGAAAGCTCCGGAAATACATCGTCGCCAGGAGTCAGCGGGAGGCAGGTTGGCGCGTGGCTGGCGGGGTGTGGGGACCGACTCGCGGACAGGGCCTGGCGGGGGGGCGGGGCTCCGGGGGGGGGGGCGGTACAACCTGGCTTCTGAACCACGTGACCCGGCGGGTTACGGGCACTTGGCATTTGTCACTAATTCTCCGTGTGTAATTATTGGGTTGTCACTTGAGTTTCACTGTAGTGTACGCTCCGCGGGAGCCGAAAATATGCTAGTTAACTGGTCTCCATAACGGTGGTTCTCAAGGTGTGGTACCCATCAGCATCTTCAGCATCACCTGGGTATTTGTTAGAAATGCAAACTCCGGGTCTGATCCCCGCCTTGCTGATCACGAACTGTTGGTAGCGTCCGCAGCCCGAAGCTCCCCAAGGGATTCCAGTGGGAGTGCTGAAGTCCGAGAGTCTGTTCAGTGGCAGACAGTCAGGAGCTCAGTAAATATTTTGAATGATTTTTACATTTTCCTCCCTTTGTAGCCTGATGACTTAACTTTTCCTTTTGAAATTTGAAATGTAGTGCAGGAAGTGCACAAACGCCAAGTGTAACGGATAAATTATCACCGACAAATTCACCCATGTAAGCCCGCCACCATCCAGCTCAATAAATGGAGACTCACGAAATTTTGAATCTCCACAAATGGAGCACGGCGCCTGATGCTTGTAGATTCTCAGTTTTTATTGAAAGAATGAAATGGCAGTTGGGGAGGCCCTGCAGGCAAAGCCCAGTGGGTTCCAAATTAGGAGGACAGCTGGAGAAAGGAGGGCCAGGTACCTTTGCAGTCATCGGACTTGGGTCTGTTTCAGGCAGTCACATTTCTCTGGTGTCGTTTCTGGTACTAAAAGGTTGGAGTTCACTTAGTCTGAGTGTTGCTGTTTTTGGTGCAGGTGGTTTCACTCATGAGGAGCTGCTGAAGGTATGGAAAGGACTGTTTTATTGCATGTGGATGCAGGACAAGCTGCTCCTCCAGGTGAGTATGTGGGAAGGCGGAGGAAGCTGGAGGGGCAGTGTCAGCAGGAGGACAGATGGGCATGTGGTTGACCCTGGGCAAAGTTTTACAGCTTTGATGCTTTTTTATTTTTTAATGGCAAGAGGGAGAGGGCCTTTGGTTAGAGTGGGTCTTATGCTTGCTGAGTTGAACACCATAGCCACACAGTTGATCATCAGTGCAAGTCATGGCGTGGGTGAAGCCTGGGGTACCTGTTTTGTGTTTACGTCACTAACTGAGACGTAAAATGATGGGAAACAAGGGAGAGGGTCCAAGTCTTCTGAGACACAGGCTTCTCCTGCAGCCTTTTTTAAAAGAAACTTTATTGCCCTGGCCGGTTTGGCTCAGTGGTTAGAGCATCGAGCCCATGGAACAAAGAGTCACAGGTTCAATTTTGGTCGAGGGCATGTACCTTGGTTGCATTTTGGTCCTTGGTCCTGCTCGGGGTCATTCGGGAGGCAACCAGTCGATGTGTCTCTCTCACATCAGTGTTTTTTCCTCTCTCTCCCTCCCACTCTGTGTGAAGATAAATGGAAAAAAATATATATCCTCAGGTGAGGATTTACAAAAATTAAATAAATAAAAGAAAACTTTATTTTTTAGAGCAGTTTTGATTTGCAGCAAAATTGAAAGGACGATACATTACCTCCAATCCCCCTACATGCACAGCTGCCTCTGTTATCAACATCCCCCACCAGATGGTACATTTGTTACAATTGATGGACCAATATTATCACATCATCGTCATCCGGAGACCATAGTTTACCAGAAGGATCACCCCTGGTGTTGTATGGTCTGTGGATTTGAACAAATGTATAATGACATGTATTCGTCAGTATGATATCTTACAGAGTAGCTTCACTGCCCTAAAATGCTAGCCTTTTAGAACTGTGTTTCTCAGAGTATGAATGTTTACTCTTCAAGATCCCCTAGGTGGAGATATAAAATGCAGATTGCTGTTATATTCCATGCCTACTAGACTAGAGGCTCAGGGGAAGCTCTGGAATGATCTATCGAGCAAATGCACCAGGTGGTGCTGGCCAGTGACGCGGACAGGCAGTGAATAATTTACATGGGTCTGGTTGGCTCCCTCTGTCTGCTGGTCAGGTGGCTGCATGTCCTGAGGCTCCCTGCTCTGTCCTGCCTTCTCTCATTCCCTCCTTGGCCAGCTTCTGTTGCTCGGGGTTCAGCCTTGGTCCTGAGGGCAGTTACTGCCCTTGTTGCAAGGTTCTGCTGGCCTCGCTGCAGAGGGAAGCCTTGCACAGTGGGGGTGTACCTTGAAGCCTCACGCACACTGGACTGAACAAGCCAATGGAAGCGGGTTCTCATAATGGGTGGATAGTTGAATGTGTTTGTCTTTGCTGTTGCTTGTTGTAAGACCACATTTCTTCAGAGACTGAAGGAGGTTTTTTTTACTGTTTCCTGCACAGGAGGAACTAGGAAGGACCATTTCCCAACTCATCCATGCTTTTCAAACCACAGAGGCACGTGAGTATCATACCCTTTGGTAAGGCCAGAATCTCTGAGTCATTTAGCTACCACACACAGAAGGCTTGGGTTCTGAGATCTAGAGCAAGAGAGAGGTCCCTTTTATAGCTGGTGTCTGCTGGTGCTTGAGTGTGAAACACTTCAACACGTATCAACTCATTTATCTAAAATACACTCAACTCATAAGTATACACTTTAAGACTAAAGTTAGTACAGTGTTACCAAGCTGCTTGCCTGAATCTCATCTGATAGTTGGGAAGTTTCTCAGTGACCTTTTGTTTCTCTTCTGACCAAGATCAGTAGTCCTCCACCCTGCTGCTTGCCCATTGGGGTCACTTGGGAGTCTTTAGAAAACTTGATGTCCATGCTCTGGCCGGTTTGGCTCAGTGGTTAGAGCGTCGGCCTGCGGTCCCAAGAGACCCAGGTTCAGTTCTCGCTAAGGGCATGTACCTCAGTTGCAGTTTGTCCCTGGCCCTGGTTGGGTTGTGCGGGTGGCAGCCACTCAATGTGTCCCTTTCATGTCGATGTTTCTCTCTCTCTCTCTCTTCCTCCCACTCTATCTGAACAAAAAAAATGTCCTCGGGTGAGGATTAAAAAAAAAAGAAAACTTAATGTCTAGACCCTGGTGTCCTTAAGAGGAGTTCAGAGGGTGGGGCCTAGACAGCAGCGTTTTCACCTCCCCTGAGGGTAGCCAGGGCTGAGCAGCGTCACTGGCATAGGCACTAGGACCATGGGTGGTGGGTTTAATTCAGTTGGACTCTAGTAGGCAAAGAATCAAAATTTGGTGGGCGGGGGGGCCTGCACAAGAATCATAGAAACTACTTTCTCAACTTGGAAGAGTCTCTGCCTGCATTGGAGTAATTAGTGAAGGAGAATACCTACCTTCTGTACTTTTTACATTCTAAGAACCTGCAGTAGAGTCTGTGCTCAGCAACAGGCAAAGTATAGAGCATTCACCTAGTGACACTGGAATGAGTTAAATGCAGGCCCATTCATTGCTGAGCCATCTGATCAACCCTTGCTGTTGAAGAAGTCTGTGATGGGATTTAGAGATGCCTCTTTGTGTCCCGAGGTCAAGGTGTGGGCAGGGTTGGTTCCTCTTAAGACCTCTCTCTTTGGCATGTAGACGCTGTCTTCTCTGTGTCCTCATATGGTCATCCCTCTGTGTCTGTCTGTGTCCTGATCTCATAAGGACAGCAGTCAGATTGGATGAGGGTACGTACTAGTGACCTTATTTTATCTTAATTACCTCTTTAAAGACTATACGTTCAAAAAAAGTCATATTTCGAGGTATGGAGGTTAGAGCTTCAACATAGGAGTCTGAGGGACACAGCTCAGCCCCTTGTACTCTGGCATAGCCATTATCAGTAGGGTCTTGTGCTTGATGGGTTAGTGCAGCTAGTGAGGAAAGTAGTGAGGTCAGGCATGGGTGTCAGGCAGGGCCTCTGCCCCTGCCGAGGGGAGGCCGAGGGCGGGGGGAGGAAGTGGCCAGAACAGCCTCCTTTCTTGCCAGTGGCTTTGCCTGCTCTTTGCTCCGTCTTCAGAGACTGCGGCTGCCAACCAGGGTTGTGGGTGAGCTCTGCTGTTCTTTTTGAGATTCCTCATAGCTCCATTTCTGAGCCAAATCAACTTCACATCTCAGCAAATTCAGAGATGTCAGAGGTTGGTTGTGCACAACTTCCTGGTCAGATTTCTTCATATTCTCTCACTTTACTTCCCCAAATGGCTCCCGTGCTCCTCCATGATTCTCTTGTGGCCCTTTTCCCTCCAGAGCACCTGTTCCTTCAAACCTTCTGGCAGACCATGAACCGCGAGTGGACGGGCATAGACAGACTGCGCCTGGATAAGTTCTACCTGGTGAGGAAGCTGCCTTTGCCCCTCTGCCAGGTCCCCTGCAGTGCCAGCAGTGGCAGATGTAGGGAGCAGGGCTGAGCACCCCGCACCTGCTGTGCTGTCCCACAGGGTTGGGGAGGGAGGGCTGGGGTGCGGCATAGAGTGGTCTGACCTCTGAGCTTACCGCCCTGCTAGGGCAGAGCTGAGGGCTTGTGGTCAGTGGGGCCATCCTGGGATCCACAAGCCCAGTGGGTCGTTCTGGGAGCCTAGGCCTTGTTTGGGGTGCACATGCTTAGGACTGTGTAGTATTTGTCTGATCTCTCAGGGTTGGCAAGTGGGGAAGGAGTTCAGTCCTTGAAACAAACATTGTAGAGACTTTCAGTTCAGAGGAGGAGGGTTCATGTTGCCCTCCTGTGGAGAACTGTGGTGAAGCCTGTGAACACCATCAGAGCTGGTGGAGCTCATGCCCTAGGTAGAGGCCTTTGGAGCCGTCTGGGGTGCCAGCACCTGAAGATGCTGGGCTGGGACAGGGACATAATTGTATGCAGAATCCCCTTTTCTTCCTCCTTCCGATGCTGCAGTCCTGTGAACTTAGGTTTCTCATTTGCCCCCAGAAATAGCCCTTCATGTTGAGCTATAGTGTTGTTATTACAGTGACGTTCACTGGCACTTGGAACAATCCCCACATGAAGGGACAGTGTTGCTGTCTGAGAGCAGGTGACCCAACGGGCACAGTGAATGGGCAGTGAGGACGGACCCCCTCGGGGCTGCAATTCAGGTGGATTCTGTCGCTCAGATCAGCTCAGACTTGGGTCAGGGTTATGTGGACGCTGGTGTCAGGTGTTAAAGTGTGGGCCTGCAGAGCGCTGAGGAGGGAGGGATGGACGCTGCGGCAGTGGACAGGAGCAGGGCCGGGGCCAGGCTTTGCCCTTTATTTATTTATTCTTAAATATGTTTTTATTGATTTTTTTAGAGAGAGAGGAAGGGAGAGAGAGAGATGAAACATTGATCAGCTGCCTCCTGCACATCCCTTACTGGGGATCGAGCCAGCAATCCCGGCATGTGCCCTGATCAGGAATCGAACTGGGACCTCTCAGTCCATGGGAGGATGCTCAATCCACTGAGCCACACTGGCCAGGCAGGCTTTGCATTTTTACAAAATACAGGTTGATAAGACCAAGGAGCTCCTCCATGCATCAGCACACGGTTGCCCTGAGGTGCATTCTCTGGGCCCTTAGGATGGATTTGGTTGAAGCCCATTTCCCAGGTCTCCCTGTGTGACCACATCTAGCAGCACATTCCTTGTAAAGGCTGACCCTTTTGATGGCACTTCAGATAAGGAGTAATGTAGGATGGGTCTCCACTGCCCTGGGGACAAGCGTCCTGGCTGCAAGGTGTGCTCTGTACTGTCCTCTTGCCTCTGACCACGACTGGACCCTCTGCAGGCATGTTGGGTCAATATGGGCAAGGCAGGAAAACTGGGCCAGAAAAGCTGTGAGCCACTGTACTGGGGAAGGGCGGGGTTGGGGGTAGGCATTGGGGCTTGATTTAAATGATGAGGCTTAAGGAGAGTTTACTGCATGGAGATCAGAGAGAAAGGAAACCTTTTTGCTCTGTTGGGGGTGCAGAGATGTTCTCAGTTACCAGATCTGATATTTGCACGTCCTCTGCCTCCTGTGGGGACCTGTGCTTCATTCCCGGTTTTTACTTTTGGAACAGGGACCAGTCCATCTTAGCTGTTGTTCATGGTACTACATTTGCTGCCCAGGTGTCCTCTGTGAGCCTGACTTCCTGGTGCGCTTGGAAAGTTGGGGCACCTCAGCCCTGGGCAGCAACGTGATCTCTGGGCCAGGGTCTTGAGGGCTTGGTGTCCTGTCCACCTGCAGCTCTGGGGGGCCTGCCGTGTGTGTGTGGCACGAGATGACCACAGGGCAGAGGGGAAGTCTGAGTTGTGCTACCACTAATGGGGTCTCCTTTTGTGTCACAGCTCATGCGGATGGTCCTGAATGAGTCCTTGGTGGCCCTGAAAATGCAGGGATGGGAAGAAAGGTCAGTACTCGCAGCATGTCCTGAGTCTGTGCTTCTCACAGGCCAGTCCAGATTGGAGTCACTGGGGGATTGGGTTCATGTGTTCTCTTTTAATTGGGGTTCACATGTTCTCTTTTAATTTTTTGTTGCAAAGAGATGTTGGCCTTAACATTAAAGAGTGACCCGATGGTACTTAAAATGTAGGTGTTTTAAAAATTATAATTTGGCCCTGGCCAGTTTGGCTCAGTGTTTAAAATGACAGCCCAAGGACCGAAGGGGCTCATGTTTGATTCCTGGTCAAGGGCATACACCTGGGTTGCAGCTGCCATCCCCAGCCCCAATTGGGGTCATATGGAGCGCAACCAATTGATGTGTCTCTCTTACATCGATGTTTTTCTCTTTTCCTCCCCCCTTCTATTCTATCTAAAAATCAATGGGGCCCAACCAGTGTGGGTCAGTGGATAAGCATCGACCCAGGCACCAAGAGGTCGCCAGTTCGATTCCCGGTCAGAGCACTTGCCCAGGTTGTAGGCCCCATCCCCAGTGGGGGGCATGCAGGAGGAAGCCATTTGGTGTACTCTCTCATCGATGTGTCTCTCTCTTCTTCTCCCTTTCTTTCTCTAAAATCAATAAAGGAGAAACAAATTTTTAAAAAATAAAAATCAATGGGAAAATATCCTCAGGTGAGGATTAACCAAAAAAAATTATAGTTTGCATGTGTTCATGGAAATATTTGTTTTCAACCTTGATGGTAAGTTGTGAATTAGAATTGAGTTCTTTCATTATAATGTATATTGTGTGTTAGCGTGTTTAGCTTTATTATCAGTGGTCATTGCTGCCAGTTCTAGAAATAATTTAATTTGTCCAGACTTCTCACTTTTGACAGTGGCATTTGTCCCCATAAACTGGCAGGGGCTTCCATCTCTGCTGGCCAGTAGGCGGGGCCTCAGCTCTTCCCAGCCCCTCCTGGACACCTGGGACCAAGCAGGGAGTGGGGCGGGGCTCCTGCTGCCTTACTGAAGCTCTTCATCTCGGTGGTGGGGAGCAGGTTTCTAAACCTCCGGTGGCGGGCAGACTGAGATACACCACACAAAGTGGGTTTCTGAATGTTCACATTTAAACATTTTTTAAATTAATTTAAAATTTGGTTTATTGTTTCTTTATATTTTGAGAGTGATATCTGTTCAGTATAAAGAACTTAGAAAAAGTATAAGACATTAAAAAGCAATTTTAATTCTGACAGTTTTGAAGACGTTGCATTGCTCTGCGCACATGGTATGAAAGTGGCATCATATCGAACGTGGCCTTTGCAGTGCTTTTCATTGACTGGCAGTGCGCCGCCGCCCCCCCCTCCCCCCCCCGCCCGTGGCACTGTCCTGCTGCTGCATGATTTTAGGGCGGGTAGGGGGACGAGGCTGGAAACAATGTATTTTGAATTGATTTATAACTAAAAAGTGTACATTAAAGGAGTTTATTTCAAGTACGTGGATACTACAGTCCCCAGATATTAGAATAGCTGACCCAGAGACTTCAGCTTACAGTCCAGGAGATGCTAGGACTGTGTGTCTTCGGAAAGCGAAGTTAGCAAAATCTTGGCCCTGGCCCACTTTCCTCCCATGTAAGAAAGGTAAGTGGAGTTGGACTGTAGTTACCTGAATTTTTCTAAGTTTAGAATCCTTATTGTTGACTTTATGTTTGGCAGGAGTCCTCTGTTTTTTTTTTTTTTTTTAATCCTCACCCAAGTATATTTTTCTTTTTATCTACAGATAGAACAGGAGGGAGGAAGAGAGAAACATCGATGTGACAGAGACACATCGATTGGTTGCCACCCGCATACCCTAACCAGGCCGGGGACAAACCGCAACCGAGGTCCATGCCCTTGGCCGGAATTGAACCCAGGACTCTCTGGTCTGTGGGTCAGTGCTCTAACTGCTGAGCCAAACCGGCCAGGGCTGGAGTCTTCTATTTTTGAGTGGTTGTCATTCCTAAGTCCCCATGAGGACCTTGAGGCCTGGGGTCTCACTCATTACAGGACCTACCGGGTTCCCCAGTAGGTAGCTAGTTACTGAAGCAGAATTAAGTGTTAAAGGGACGACTACTTCAGTTAACTTTTTATGGGTTTGTTATTACGGAGGTAGTTCATCTTCATTGTCAATGGTAGTTCAGCGCAGAAATCATTTTGAAGAACTCGGCCCCTCCCGTTGCCCTGGGGTAACCAGTGCTGCTGGTATGATCTCTTCTACCCTCTCTGCCCTGACACAACGTCTGTGGCCAGGTCGTGTTTCGGTGAGTGTTCGTTAGCGTTACCAGCAGCCCTGGGAGCAGGCCTTGCACCTGCTCTGGCCTCCGCTCCTCTTCCCTGAGCATCACTTTTCCTTCCCTGACCGGAGAGTCCCCGTCGCGCGCCCGCAGCCTCTGGGAAGCTCCTTAAAGAACGTTTGTTCTCCAGCTCCGGTGTAGAGGTCTGTGTGTCATCAGGTGCCCAGGAGATCAGATGCACCTAGACTGCTGAAGCTCGGTCACTGGAGCTCTCTGACGTGGGAGCCCAGGCCTCTGTGACCACAAACCAACATGGCAGGGAGAGGTCTGTTGTGACCTTCACAGGCTGTGTACTCAGTGAAGCAGAACCTGGGGAGCAAGCTCATCCCCCTCCTGTGACCTACATGTCCTTTTCTTGGTATTTGCTGTGTCCTGGTATGCCTTCTGAGCAGTTCCCAGCGAGGGCAGAGGGACAGGTGCAGGCGGTGGTCGCCTCCTGTCGCGCCTGCAGGCCTCTCCCCAGCACTCGCCTCAAGGACGGAAGGCCTGTGAATGTTGGCACGTCTTGCACTCTGTAGCTGAGCTTCAGTCCGCCCTGTGTTCTGATGCTGGTACGGTCACAGAAATTGGTAATTCCAGGGTCCTTTGTGCTGGGACGACCTGTGTGCGGTGGAACGTTGGCATGTTGGAAGACGGGGTGTCTGCTCCGTATGGGTAGAGAAGACCAGTGCCCTGGTGCCTGTCATGGCTGCTGCTTGTATTTGCCCATTTCTTTCTTCAGACAGATCGAGCAGCTATTGGAGCTGCTGACGACTGAGATTCTGCACCCCGACAGCCAGGCCCCCAATGGGGTGAAGAGCCACTTCATTGAGATCTTCCTGGAGGAGCTGGCCAGAGTGGGTGCCGCCGAGGTGAGGGGCTGGGGCTGGGGTGTGGGCGATGGGCTGGGCAGAGCTGGCGGCTGAGCTGCTCCCTGGATGTTTGTGAGTGAGGGACTGAGGCCGCTCCTGCTTTGTGTCCCTGTAGCTGACGGCAGAGCAGAACCTCAAGTTCATCGATCCCTTCTGCAGAATCGCTGCACAGACCAAGGAGTACGTGGCAGGGTCTCCGGCTGGCCTTTTGCACTGAGTTCTTCAGGGGACTGTCTTTGGGAAGTTGCTCTTCCCTTTTGGGAAGAGGGTGTGCATTGTGTCCACGTGACAAAATCACCAGAGGGGCCGATAGGCTCTGGGTCGGGAGAGAGGGTCACAGGAGTCAGCAGTCCTTTTTCTTGGTCCCGCCTAACGTCCTGCCTCTGCCTGCCTCCCCTTCAGCTCCCTGGTTTTACACAACATCACTCAAGGCATCTTTGAGACGATCGTAGAACAGGCCCCATTTGCCATCGAAGACCTAATGAATGAACTGGAGGAGGAGGAGGAGGAGGAGGAGGAGGAGATGTCAGAGGAGGATGAGCAGGAACAGGACGTGCCATCAAAGAAACTGTTTGAGAAGCTACCTGAAGGTGAGGATTACAGTGTGTTTAATATGACGTGTCCACCACCTCAGTGCCACCTGTCCTGGTCTGAGCCAGTAGTGCATTTCCTGGGATCCTTGTATTCACCTCCTCATTTTTATCTTTGCCCCAAAGTCTGTTCTTGGCCCAGCAGCCAGGGTATTCTTCAGAAACAAGCACACGTGTTCACTTACTGTCCCAGCCCTCGCTCCATGTGCACCATCCTGACTCCCCCGGCTCCTCCCTGGCCCACTGGTCTCCACCCTCTGTCACTCTAGGGCAGCGCTTCTTAACCTCTGGGTCGCGATCCTTTTGGGGGTTGAACGACCCTTTCACAGGGGTCACCTAAGACATAACAGTAGCAAAATTACAGTTATGAAGTAGCAACGAAAATAGTTTTATGGTTGGGGGTCACCACAACATGAGGACCTGTATTCAAGGGTCGCGGCATTAGGAAGGTTGAGGACCACGGCTCTAGGGCCTCTACCCTGACCACCCAGCTTAAAGTGAAGCCTCCCAGCCCTCACCCTGGCTCACTTGCTGTCTCACTTCCTGGCATGAATCAAGTGTAGTTACATAAACCACTTGTTTGTTCCTGGCCCATCTTCCCCACTGGATGTTGGCTCCATCGGGACAGGCAGCTCTGTTGATCACAGTGTGTCCCCAAGTGCCAAGAGCATTGGCTGGTGCAGAAGCCAGGAGGCTAGATGTGAATGAACAAATGAATTTCTAGATGAGCGAGGGAATGAACGGATGAAGGGAACATACCTCGACAAATGTCCCACTGTAGGGCTGTGGGGCAGGACCTGTGGTACTTTGGTAGTGGTGGTGTCCAGTCTGGTCTGTTTCCAGTCTTGATGCTGATGTGGGACATTGTGGGACTGCAGCTGCTCTTGCATGGCCAGTCCCACTGGGCGGCCTGTGCCAGCACTGTGTACTGAGTCCTGTGGCTGTGGTGGGCATGTCATTGTTCACCAGCTTTAGGACTTAACTGCCTTCACTTTTTTTGTAATAAATACACATAACAGTTTATAATTTTAATCATTTTTAACTTACAGTTCAGTGGCCTTAAATACATTCACATTGTTGTACAACCATTACCACTATCCATCTCAGAACCTTCCATCTTGCCAAACAAACTCTGTCCCCATTAAACACTTAACTCCCATTCCCCTCTCCCCCGCCCTTGGCAACCACCATTCTACTCTCTTATGGATTTTACTGCTTTAGGAACTTCATATTAGTGGATCAGAGAGTATTTGTCTTTCGTGACTTATTCCACTCAGCATTGTGTCCTCGGGATTCCTCCATGTTGTAGCCTGTGTCGGGATTTTGTTCCCTTTATGGTTGAGTAGTGGTCCACTGTGTGCATCGACCATGTGCTGCTTATCCAGCCATCTGTGATGGACTCCTGGGTACTTTCACATTGTATCTGTCCTGAATGTGGGAGTACAGTGCAACTTTTTTTTTTCAATGAAGAAGTTGCATGTTTTGTTGTTAAGCTGTGTTTTCCCCTGCAAGGCTGTTGCTTCTCTGTATAAAAACAGTACCACAAAGGCAGTATATTTGCAAAATTAAGATAGTATCATTTGTTATTTGACACTGTAGCAATTTTTCTCCACTTCCAGTTATTTCCAATGGAAAGATTGTTCAAAGTATTTTGACCCAAATCCAGAGACAAATGTAAGCAAGTTACAGTATTATATAAGGCTTAAGATAATAATGTTATCCTTGAAATGCATAATTTTTAACAGATTTTTAAAAATATGTTTTCATTGATTTTTTTTGGAGAGGAAGGGAGAGAGAGATAGAAACACTGATGTGAGAGAGAAACATTGATTGTCTGCCACCTGCACACCCCCTACTGGGCGTGGAGCCTGCAACCCGGACATGTGCCCTGACCAGGAATCAACCAGGACCTCTCAGTCCATGGGACGCAGCTCAATCCACTGAGCCGCACTGGCTGGGAGAAATACATAATTTTTATAACTAGATTTTACCATAGAAATTTCAGGAATTCTGATGTTATAACTAGCCTCGCCTAAAAATCACAGGGTGTTATGAAAAAGATGCATGTTGTGTTTATCTACATTCATTAGAAAGTTAAGGGGTATTTTCTTCCAGTAGCACTGTTGTTTCTTTTTTCATGGTATTACTAAAAGTTGCTATTTTAAGTCTTCTGTCTACCATTAGCTTAAAGCAGCTGTGCTAGATGAAATTGTCCCGTGCTCCTTTGTGCAGCGGGGGTTCATGTCCACTCTCCAGCAGACTGTTTCATGTTCTTCACCCGTCGGTCCTCTCGCTCTGAAGGCTTACTCAGTGTGCTCTCATCGGGCACCCACCTTCACGGTGAGATTTGTGGGCAGGTCCTGGATTTCTGCAAGAGTTCGTTAGTCTCCGTGACTTTTCTGATGGGGGAATGGAGTTCGCTCACAGCTTTTACACCTGCCAAAGCACCAAACTCATTTTTTTTTTTCAATTTTAAAAAAAATACTGATTTTTTTGAGAGAGAAAAACATTGATTTGTTGTTCCCTTTATTCATGCACTCATTGGTTGGCTCTTGTGTATGCCCTGTCTGGGGATCATACCTGCAACTTTGGTGTATCAGGACAGTGCTCCGACCAGCTGAACTTCCCGGCCAGGACCACGCTCATCTTGTTTGTTCAGTTTGTCCCAACTTCAGGCAAACGAGGATAAACAACCTTTCCCAAAGCTTCCTGTGCAAAATTGCTGGTTTTCGCTGTTTCAGTACCCTTTTTTGTTGTTATCCATTCATGTTTCTTTGCGTTTACACACTGAGATCAGGCTGGTGCAAGGCCTACAGTCTATTTCTCTGAGACCCTGCTTTCGGTTATTTTGGGTATATACCCAGAAGTGGAATCACGGATCATATGGTAATTCTTTTTTGTTGTTGTTGTTAATCCTCACCCAATGATATTTTCTCATTGATTTTTAGGTAGAATGAAAGGAAGGGAGGGAGGGAGAGAGAGAAACACTGATGTGAGAGAGACACATCGATTGCTTTCCTCCTGCACGACCCTGACCAGGGCTGGGATTGAACCTGTAACCCAGGAATGTGCCCTTGACCAGGAATTGAACTTGAGACACCTTCGGTCCGAGGGCCGACACTCTAATTGCTGAGCCAAACCCGCCAGGGCAGTAATTCTCTTAGTAATTTTCTGGAGCAACCACTGTACCTTCCACAGCTGCTGTTCCATTTGCTCCCCACCAGCAGTGCACAGGGTGCAGGCTTCTCCACATCCTCGTTTGCTCCCCACCAGCAGTGCACAGGGTGCAGGCTTCTCCACGTCCTCGTTTGCTCCCCACCAGCAGTGCACAGGGTGCAGGCTTCTCCACGTCCTCGTTTGCTCCCCACCAGCAGTGCACAGGGTGCAGGCTTCTCCACGCCCTCGTTTGCTCCCCACCAGCAGTGCACAGGGTGCAGGCTTCTCCACGTCCTCGTTTGCTCCCCACCAGCAGTGCACAGGGTGCAGGCTTCTCCACGTCCTCGTTTGCTCCCCACCAGCAGTGCACAGGGTGCAGGCTTCTCCACATCCTCGTTTGCTCCCCACCAGCAGTGCACAGGGTGCACGCTTCTCCACGTCCTCGTTTGCTCCCCACCAGCAGTGCACAGGGTGCAGGCTTCTCCACGTCCTCGTTTGCTCCCCACCAGCAGTGCACAGGGTGCAGGCTTCTCCACGTCCTCGTTTGCTCCCCACCAGCAGTGCACAGGGTGCAGGCTTCTCCACGTCCTCGTTTTGCTCCCCACCAGCAGTGCACAGGGTGCAGGCTTCTCCACGTCCTCGTTTGCTCCCCACCAGCAGTGCACAGGGTGCAGGCTTCTCCACGTCCTCGTTTGCTCCCCACCAGCAGTGCACAGGGTGCACGCTTCTCCACGTCCTCGTTTGCTCCCCACCAGCAGTGCACAGGGTGCAGGCTTCTCCACGTCCTCGTTTGCTCCCCACCAGCAGTGCACAGGGTGCAGGCTTCTCCACGTCCTCGTTTGCTCCCCACCAGCAGTGCACAGGGTGCAGGCTTCTCCACGTCCTCGTTTGCTCCCCACCAGCAGTGCACAGGGTGCAGGCTTCTCCACGTCCTCGTTTGCTCCCCACCAGCAGTGCACAGGATGCAGGCTTCTCCACGTCCTCGTTTGCTCCCCACCAGCAGTGCGCAGGGTGCAGGCTTCTCCACGTCCTCGTTTGCTCCCCACCAGCAGTGCGCAGGGTGCAGGCTTCTCCACGTCCACGTTTGCTCCCCACCAGCAGTGCACAGGGTGCACGCTTCTCCACGTCCTCGTTTGCTCCCCACCAGCAGTGCACAGGGTGCAGGCTTCTCCACGTCCTCGTTTGCTCCCCAGCAGCAGTGCACAGGGTGCAGGCTTCTCCACGTCCTCGTTTGCTCCCCAGCAGCAGTGCACAGGGTGCAGGCTTCTCCACGTCCTCGTTTGCTCCCCACCAGCAGTGCACAGGGTGCAGGCTTCTCCACGTCCTCGTTTGCTCCCCACCAGCAGTGCACAGGGTGCAGGCTTCTCCACGTCCTCGTTTGCTCCCCACCAGCAGTGCACAGGGTGCAGGCTTCTCCACGTCCTCGTTTGCTCCCCACCAGCAGTGCACAGGGTGCAGGCTTCTCCACGTCCTCGTTTGCTCCCCACCAGCAGTGCACAGGGTGCAGGCTTCTCCACGTCCTCGTTTGCTCCCCACCAGCAGTGCGCAGGGTGCAGGCTTCTCCACGTCCTCGTTTGCTCCCCACCAGCAGTGCGCAGGGTGCAGGCTTCTCCACGTCCTCGTTTGCTCCCCACCAGCAGTGCGCAGGGTGCAGGCTTCTCCACGTCCTCGTTTGCTCCCCACCAGCAGTGCGCAGGGTGCAGGCTTCTCCACGTCCTCGTTTGCTCCCCACCAGCAGTGCACAGGGTGCAGGCTTCTCCAAGTCCTCGTTTGCTCCCCACCAGCAGTGCACAGGGTGCACGCTTCTCCACGTCCTCGTTTGCTCCCCACCAGCAGTGCACAGGGTGCAGGCTTCTCCACGTCCTCGTTTGCTCCCCACCAGCAGTGCACAGGGTGCACGCTTCTCCACGTCCTCGTTTGCTCCCCACCAGCAGTGCACAGGGTGCACGCTTCTCCACGTCCTCGTTTGCTCCCCACCAGCAGTGCACAGGGTGCAGGCTTCTCCACGTCCTCGTTTGCTCCCCACCAGCAGTGCACAGGGTGCAGGCTTCTCCACGTCCTCGTTTGCTCCCCACCAGCAGTGCACAGGGTGCAGGCTTCTCCACGTCCTCGTTTGCTCCCCACCAGCAGTGCACAGGGTGCAGGCTTCTCCACGTCCTCGTTTGCTCCCCACCAGCAGTGCACAGGGTGCAGGCTTCTCCACGTCCTCGTTTGCTCCCCACCAGCAGTGCGCAGGGTGCAGGCTTCTCCACGTCCTCGTTTGCTCCCCACCAGCAGTGCACAGGGTGCAGGCTTCTCCACGTCCTCGTTTGCTCCCCACCAGCAGTGCACAGGGTGCAGGCTTCTCCACGTCCTCGTTTGCTCCCCACCAGCAGTGCTCAGGGTGCAGGCTTCTCCACGTCCTCGTTTGCTCCCCACCAGCAGTGCGCAGGGTGCAGGCTTCTCCACGTCCTCGTTTGCTCCCCACCAGCAGTGCGCAGGGTGCAGGCTTCTCCACGTCCTCGTTTGCTCCCCACCAGCAGTGCGCAGGGTGCAGGCTTCTCCACATCCTCGTTTGCTCCCCACCAGCAGTGCACAGGGTGCAGGCTTCTCCATGTCCTCGTTTGCTCCCCACCAGCAGTGCACAGGGTGCAGGCTTCTCCACGTCCTCGTTTGCTCCCCACCAGCAGTGCACAGGGTGCAGGCTTCTCCATGTCCTCGTTTGCTCCCCACCAGCAGTGCACAGGGTGCAGGCTTCTCCACGTCCTCGTTTGCTCCCCACCAGCAGTGCGCAGGGTGCAGGCTTCTCCACGTCCTCGTTTGCTCCCCACCAGCAGTGCACAGGGTGCAGGCTTCTCCACGTCCTCGTTTGCTCCCCACCAGCAGTGCGCAGGGTGCAGGCTTCTCCACGTCCTCGTTTGCTCCCCACCAGCAGTGCACAGGGTGCAGGCTTCTCCACATCCTCGTTTGCTCCCCACCAGCAGTGCGCAGGGTGCAGGCTTCTCCACGTCCTCGTTTGCTCCCCACCAGCAGTGCACAGGGTGCAGGCTTCTCCACGTCCTCGTTTGCTCCCCACCAGCAGTGCACAGGGTGCAGGCTTCTCCACGTCCTTGTTTGCTCCCCACCAGCAGTGCACAGGGTGCACGCTTCTTTACGTCCTCACCAGCACTGTCATTTTCTAGGGGTTTTGGCTAGCCATCTTCATGGGTCTGAGATGGTATCTTGTGGTTTTGAGTTGGGTTTCCCTAATGATTAGTGACATTGAGCATCTTTTTATGTGCTTGTTGGCCGTGTGTGTGTCTTTGGGAAAAGATCTATTCAAGTCCTTTGTCCATTTCTCACTGGATTGTTTTATTGTTGAATTTTGAGAGTCTTATTTATATATTCTAGATGCTCACCCCTTACCAGATACATGCTTTACAGATAGCTTCTCCCATTCTGAGCTGTGTTTTTATTCTATCTATAGTCATCTGACCAGAATCAAACCCTTGACCCTTTGGTGTGAGGGCTGATGCTCTAACCACTGAACACACCAGCCAGGGCCTAGCACCATTCCTTGAAGAAACTGTCCTTTCCCCACTGAATGGGCCTGGCATCCTTGTGAAGGTCATTTGACTATAAACGAAAGGTTAACTTCCCCCTCCGACTCTCAGTGCACTTGCTGGCCTGCTCCTTGGCTTTCTTGTTCGTCGGCAGCCCCTCTCCACCCCCAGCATGTTCTCTGGCCCTTGCAACCCGCCCGTCCCTCCCTTTCTCTCTCACTCAAAGCACCTGAGACCTAGGAGTCTCTTGCGAGCCCTCCCGTGCCCCGCTGTCCTTATTATCTGCCACGCACGCCTGCCCTCGTGGCTGCCTGTGCTCCAGAAGTTTTCTTCTGTAGGAGTGACATCAAAGCCCCAAACGTTATGGAACATTGTCTTCAGCACGCCTGCCCTCGTGGCTGCCCGTGCTCCAGAAGTTTTCTTCTGTAGGAGTGACATCAAAGCCAAACGTTATGGAACATTGTCTTCAGCAGGCCTGCCCTGTGGCTGAACTAAACTACCCTTCTTCCTCGCTTCTAGGACTTCTGACTCCACGTGTGCCTAACACCCACTCGTAATTTCATCTTAATGTCACTCCTTAAGGACTGGTCGGGCCTTAACATCCTCTGGGATGTCTCCCTTGTTTCCAGGCCTGTGGTGGCCCCACTCCCCTCAGCGTGAGGCTGTCGGGGTCCCCCACCATCAGGTGCTGTGGGCTCCCCCGGCCTACACCTGTACATTCTCCCCAGGCTGGGGGCCCTGGCCGATGGGGCTGGCTCGCAGTTGTGTGTTGGGAGCCTGTGACGCCAGGTGTGTCTGAGTTGACGGGGCGCTTTCATTCCAGGCTCCGGCGGGGCTGGACCAGACGGGGGTGAGGAGCAGGCCGGGGACGATGAGGACAGCGTCGGCGCCGTCCTTCAGGTGGGTGGCCTGGGCTCGTGGGCTGCGTTCTCAGCCTCTACCCTCCGCTTTGTTGCTGGCTCTGGGAGCTGGCGGAGCTGCAGGGGAGGAGTGCCATGCATAGGGATGGCAGCTGTTGGCTGAGACTTGGGGGACCCCTCGTCTGCCAAAGCACAAGTCCTTGAAAGCGGGGTTGGGGGCTGGACGCTGGGAGACTCCACTATGTGTCAGCTGCCCAGGACTGCCCCGGCCGCCTCCTGGGGTGCTGGGGCCAGTTAGGTGGTGTGAGCCCAGGGGCTGGCACTGGGGTCCCCGCTGGGAGTGAGCTGTAGACAGTCACCTTTGCTGAGGGGACAGCAGGTTGTCCTTGTGGTCCAGGCACTTTACTTGGTTCACATCTGGCAGCACCTGGGCCGTGACTGACTCTCTGTCTCCGTGGTGTCTCTCTGTGAAACAGTTTGACTATGAGGCTGTCGCTAACAGACTGTTTGAAATGGCCAGTCAGCAGAACACCCCTTCTCAGAACAGGAAACGTCTCTACAAAGTGATCCGAAAGTAAGTGTTTCTCCGAAGGTGGCCACCCTGTTCTTCCCACTGCCCTGGGGTTGCCTCTTCCCTCTCAAGTGGCCTTAGCTAGGGGGGGAGAGGGCAGTACCCTGCTTCAGAGCTCAGGTTGGGGGGCCTCACTGAGGACCACCGTGCTGCTTGCACAGGAGGCTGGAGGTCGTGGGGCTGCCTTCCCCAGTGTGGTGTGGTCTCCTTCCACAGCCGTGGTGAATGACTGTCTCATTCTTGCAGGTTGCAAGGCCTCGCTGAAGGTGAGCACTGGGTCGTGCGCTGAGACCGGCCCCAAGGAGAAGGCGTGTGTCCCCTTCTCTTGGGAGAGCGTTGGATCTTGTGTGTGTACCCTCAAAGCATGAGTAGTCAGCAGAGAAGCTGTGTTTCTTGGGAGAGAGGTGGGCCGGGGGTTGGCAGGTCGTCTGACTTCAGTGCTGTGGTTCTCAGCTCTGAGCATGAGAATACGCACTCAGTGCTGTTCCAGGGCAGGGTGGCGCCCAGGAATCTGCATTTCTCAAGGAAGTTCCCAAGAAAGTGCCCAGGCATGCTAAGGCTGCTGGTCTGCAGCAGTCATTTCTGCATCTCAGTGTGTGGCTGATGGAACTGGTACAGTTTATTCTGCAGACAGTTTTCTGGAAGGTTTATAATTGGAGATGTAGCATTTTTTCGCCAACATTGCATTACAGAAAGTTTTACGCACAGCAGAGTTGAAAGGATTTTGCCGTGAAGACCTGCATATCCACCCCCTTGGCTCTACCACTGACATTTCACTGTCCTTGTTCTATCATGAATCTGCCCGTGGAGCCCTCCCACCCTTCATGAGGCCACACCCCGAAGTACTTCCTGCTCATTATGAACTAAGTCCAGTGTATTCTTTAGGTGAAATTTACGTTCAGTGAAATACATGAATACTGTGTGCATCTGTGGGTTTTGACCAGTGTGCACTGTCCTTTGTGACTCCAACCCATCAAGATACAGAACATCGCCTCTGCTCCAGGAAGCTCAAACCCCTTCTCAGCATAAGCAGTTTCTAGAAGTAGGCCATGGTGTGTCCTAAGTGCTCCAAGAATGGGCTCTTTCGCGTTGTAGCAACTATGGTTTGAAGCCGGCAGAGCTGTGGTGGTTATCGGAACAGGCCTCCTTGCATGGAGCCGGGGAGGGGCTGCGTGGGGGTCCCGTGGAGCAGTGAGCTCAGACCCAGCCGGGCCTGCTTTCAGCCTGACTGTCTGCCCTGGTCCTTAGGCCTCTTCCCTGAGGAAGACGTCCCAGAAAAAGCCTACAGGAAACTGCAAGAAGGGAGGCAGGAGAGGAAGGCAAGGAAGTGTTTGCCCAAATCCCAGCTGCAGGACAAGACAGGTAGGACTAGTGCCCACTGACATGGAGGGGCTTACCCCGTTCTATTGTGGAGTACTGTCTCCCCGAGGCGGGCCTCCAGGCGCGGTCCAGGCGTCCTGGAGAAAGCCCTGGACCAGATGCCCTGCAGCAGCGGGGCTGCCCTGTGCAGCTGGGCCTCGGGTTTGTCCGGCTGCCGGGGGCCACTTGCCATGTTCCCCGCTCTCCTCGTCTGCAGGTTCGGTCTGGGCTGCTGCTTCCTAATCCTTTTTCGTGTTCGATCTGTACACATCTGGTGGGTTTTGACCCATCTGCTCATCTTCAGCGTCCCCCCGAGACCACTTCACCTCCCTGTGCTCTCCTTGATTTTAGAGGCTTCCCCCCTTCTCTCCTCCTCCCCCTCTTCCTCCCCTGCTTGTCCACGCAAGTGTGCTGAGGATGTGACAGCCCTCACTGAGGGCTACTCTGTGCTGTCACCCCAGGCCCTGCACGCACTGCACACCGCTGGGCGTGGGCTGCCTGCTGCAGAGGAAGTGGGCAGTGCCGTTTGAAGGGTCCCTGGACTCGCCCCTCTCCGGCCAGGGCCACTTCCGTTCCTGTTGTTTTTACTGGGCCTTGCGGCAGCGCAGGGCCAGCCCCCAAATGCCATCTCCTGTTGTGTACCAAGCCGAGTCACAGCTCCTGCCCTGTTTTCCGAGCCTGTCCCTGCTGACCAGTGTCACCTCCAGCCCCCGTGCACTGCGCGTAGGCCCGCCTGCCCCATCTGTCACGTCTGCTCTGACCCCGTCCTCACGCTGCTCTTGCTGAGGCTGCCTTTCTGGCCTCAGGAGCCTGCACCGCCGCTGGCTCCGGGGTGTCTGCTCCTGAGGCCGTCGGTGCTTCTGTGCCCTCTGCTGCCCTGGGGCTGGCACCGGCCGTGACGTCGCCGTGAAGTAGCCTAGCCTTCCCTACCCGTTCACGTGGCCTTGCTGTTGCAGGGAGAGCTGAGCAGGAGGACCCACGTGCAGACCCGAGTTCCCGATCAGAGAGAAAGAGGCGGCGACGGGGCCCGGGTGCTGACCCGGCTGCACCCCAGGAACAGCCCGGGGGCCGTGGCAGGAGAGGGGTACGCAAGAGGCGGCGGCGGCCTCGGGCAGGGGCCAGAGGGAAGGTGCCTGGCTGCCAGGAGCCAGACGTGAAAAAGAAGTGGACACAGGAGCGGAAGAAATGACGTTGCTGGCCCCCCTGGGCAGGACAGTGCTGTCTCCGCCCCTCTTCCCGGTGTGCGCTGTGGGGCCGGAGCGAGCCGGACAGGTGGGCCGTGCCCCAGACTCTGGACACGGGCAGAGGTCAGCTCAATGACGTTGGCTCCCACTCAGTGCCGTGCCCCAGAGCGCTGCCACTGTGCTGGCCTTGGTCAGGCAGGACCCTGAGACTTGGAGCTCCCTGCAGGCAACCCTCCTGGCAAGCGGGGCCAAGCCAAGCATAGGGGTGCCACAAATAAAATGCCACGCAGTTCTTGCAAATGGTGTCCTGCCCCGTGCGCTGATGTAGGAGGTGCCCAGAGGGCTGGATTGTAGGTGCTGGTTCCTGAAGAGCACGTGTGTCTGTATCCATATGGGTCTGCTCACACAGAGCACGTGTGTCTGTACCCGTGGGGGTCTGCTCACACAGAGCACGTGTGTCTGTACCCATTGGGGGTCTGCTCACACAGAGCACGTGTGTCTGTACCCGTGGGGGTCTGCTCACACAGAGCACGTGTGTCTGTACCCGTGGGGGTCTGCTCACACAGAGCACGAGTGTCTGTGCCCATTGGGGGATCTGCTCACACAGAGCACGAGTGTCTGTACCCATGGGGGTCTGCTCACACGGAGCACGAGTGTCTGTACCCATGGGGGTCTGCTCACACAGAGCACGTGTGTCTGTACCCGTGGGGGTCTGCTCACACAGAGCACGTGTGTCTGTACCCGTGGGGGTCTGCTCACACAGAGCACGAGTGTCTGTGCCCATTGGGGGTCTGCTCACACAGAGCACGTGTGTCTGTACCCATGGGGGTCTGCTCACACGGAGCACGTGTGTACGGAGCACGAGTGTCTGTACCCATGGGGACTGCTCACACGGAGCACGTGTGTCTGTGCCCATGGGGGTCTGCTCACACGGAGCACATGTGTCTGTACCCATGGGGGTCTGCTCACACGGAGCACGAGTGTCTGTACCCATGGGGGTCTGCTCACACAGAGCACGTGTGTCCTGTACCCGTGGGGGTCCTGCTCACACAGAGCACGTGTGTCTGTACCCGTGTGGGTCTGCTCACACAGAGCACGTGTGTCTGTAACCCGTGGGGGTCTGCTCACACAGAGCACGTGTGTCTGTACCCGTGGGGGTCTGCTCACACAGAGCACGTGTGTCTGTACCCGTGGGGGTCTGCTCACACAGAGCACGTGTGTCTGTACCCGTGGGGGTCTGCTCACACAGAGCACGTGTGTCTGTACCCATGGGGGTCTGCTCACACAGAGCACGTGTGTCTGTACCCGTGGGGGTCTGCTCACACAGAGCACGTGTGTCTGTACCCGTGGGGGTCTGCTCACACAGAGCACGTGTGTCTGTACCCGTGGGGGTCTGCTCACACAGAGCACGTGTGTCTGTACCCGTGGGGGTCTGCTCACACAGCACGTGTGTCTGTACCCGTGGGGGTCTGCTCACACAGCACGTGTGTCTGTACCCGTGGGGGTCTGCTCACACAGAGCACGAGTGTCTACCCATGGGGGTCTGCTCACACATCTCACAGCAGAGTCTGGAAAGGACGCCAAGTTCTGAAGTGGGTTTCTGGGCGGGCTGTCCCTCTCCACGGCACGGACTTGTGTTTGGTAGGAGCAGCAGTGGACCCTCGTGCTTGGGGTTGACGTGCCCGAGGCAGGAAGGGTGGCTCCTCTGCCCACCCTCGTCTTCAGTGACGTGGAGGCAGAAGACCTGGCGTCCAGCGGGCAGACCTGCCCGTCCCTGTACCTCTCGGCGCCTTCAAATCAGGTTTCAGCCCTGCATTCATCCAGAGGGTCACGCAGGAGCGTCCGAGCAGCTGCACGTTTGCCGGATCCTGGCCAGAGTGCCGTGAGGGCGCACCTACCCAGGTGGGGGTGCTATGAGGAGCCCCGGGCCCCAAAATTCCAGTTAGAGGGGGAATGAAACACTGTCATGCGGGCTCCCAGTGGCCTCGGCAGTGCTGTGTCATGGCTGCAGAGGTGACAGGTGGGCACTGTCAGGGTTAGCCACATCCTGCATTCCACGGGCATCCAGGCCAGCTGGGCCACTCTGGGCCGAGGCATGTGGGTGAGCCCAGCGCAAGGACCACCGTGGGGCAGATCCCCCAAGGCCTGAACTGAACCCCTGCTGCACGAGCATGTTCCCAACCCAGCGGGCGCCAGGGCCGTGTGCTCCCCTTTCGCTGGAGCTGCCCGGGGGCAGGGTTAGGGGACAGGAAGGGAGTGCAGCGGCACCGTCGTCTGGACTTCACAGTTCCCTTTCCCCGGCGACTCACAGTTTTGTTTCTGTGAAATTCCTCTGGTTAAAAAGTAAGGGAACACCATCCCATGGAGGTTCGTGGGAGTGGGGAGCAGGCATACCTGATGGCAGTTCCGGACCCAGAGCCCTCCTGCGTCAGCACCGCGGCTGGTCACTGTCGCCCTCAGAATCTGCCCTGGGAGCACGTGCTCCTGACGCGTGACGACCAGCAGGGTGCCATGGGTGCCGAGGGCAGGGCTCGGCAGACTGGCAGCCCTCCTGCCCATCAGACGTTCTCACTGGGCGAAGTGTGACACCTGAGAGGAAGTTGAATGTGACCAGCAGCCACTGTCCCTGGGAAAGCTTGTGTTCAGAAGTTGGCGTTGATTTTATTTTCTGTGTATTTTAAAAATACTTCATTGAGCCCTGGCCGGTTTGGCTCAGCGGTTGGAGCGTCGGCCTGCGGTCCGGAGAGACCCGGGTTCGGTTCCCGCTAAGGGCAAGTACCTCGGTTGCAGTTTGTCCCCGGCTCTGGTTGGGTCGTGCGGGTGGCAGCCACTCGATGTGTCCCTTTCACATCGATGTTTCTCTCTCTCTTCCTCTCTCTCCCTCCCACTCTATCTGAACAAAAAATGGAAAAAATGTCCTCGTGAGGATAAAAATCAAACAAACAAAAAATACTTCATTGAGAAATAGTTCACACACTACACAGTTCACCCACCTACAGTGGACAGGTCAGTGCTTTTTAGTATATTCAGAGTTGTATAGCTGTCGCCACAGTCAATTTTAGAACATTTCACCCCAGAAGACATCTTTCTTTTTTTATATCCTCACCCGAGCATCTTTTGCATTTATCTTCAGATAGAGCGGGAGGGAGAGAGGAAGAGAGAGAGAAATAACGACGTGAGAGAGACACATTGATTGGCTGCCACCTGCACAACCCCAACCGGTGGGCTTCTTGGTGCCCATGTCTAGACCCAACGGCCTCCTCCTGGGCAGGACACCACAGAAAGCCATGTTGGTCCCGGTGCTCTGCCCGATCCGCAGGCCGACGCTCTAACCCAGTGGTTCTCACCCCCCTAAAGCTGCGACCCTTTAATACAGGTCCTCATGTTGTGGTGACCCCCAACCGTAAATTATTTTCGTTGCTACTTCATAACTATAATTTTGCTACTGTTATGTCTTAGGCGACCCCTGTGAAAGGGTCGTTCGACCCCCACAGGGGTCGCAACCCACAGGTTGAGAACCGCTGCCACCGCTGAGCCAAGCTGGTCAGAGCAGGGGGCGCCCTTTCCAGCTGACCCTTCCCCACTAGGGACCGCCTCATGTGGGTCTGGTCCCCGTTCCTCTGGACAGTTCCTCTGTCTTTGCTTGACATTCGGGACCAGCCCACTGTGGGCTTCTCAGTGCCCAACAGACTCCTCCTGGGCAGGACAGCACAGAAAGCCACGTGCCCTGCCCGGGCCACGTCCTGGTGCGGAGGGTCTTGGGGAAGTGGTTGTGTTGCGGATTGAAGTAGTTTCTCATCAACTTTTCACTTAGCCATTGATTTTCCTACATTGCGACTTGTGGTTTCTTGTTTCATTCAGTGGGTTACAGTCCATTACTGTCACTTATTTTAATCCTCAGAGTGTACCATTTTGGCCGTGGGAGACTTCAGGCTGGCTCTGTTCTCTAAGGAGTCCCGCCATGCCCTGAGCACACCTTGCTTTTGACTGGGATAGGAAGCCCCGGGCCTGTGCGAGCAGGAAGGGGGGCTCAATGGGGAGCAAAGAGGGACATCTGTAATACTTGCAACAATAAAAAAAAGAAGCCCCGGGTCCATCTGGACTCCAGTCTGGAGTCAGGCTGACCACTTGGAGTCCAGCCTGGGGTGGGAGGGTGGCAAAGCAGGGAGCAGCTCTGGCCCTGCCCTGTTGCCCAGGCTGCATGGGAGGGGTCTCGCTAGGGGGAAGGGACGGGGAGGGAGGAGGAAGGCCTTGTGTGCTGACCAGGGTTCAGGAAGGGAGGAGCCAGGGTGGTTTGGGACCCGTCCCTCCAGTAGTGGGTTGGAGGGTGGATTTGGGGACGGTCCTGCCAGCAGCCCCGGTTGGGACACTCAGACCAATATTTTGGGGAATGCCAACTTTTTCACAAACTGCCTTACAAAAATAACCTCTTAATTGCTTAGGATCTGGTAGCAGGGGACTGTCCCCCCATCCTTGGCCCGGAAGTTAAATGGGCAGCAAGACACAGGGGACCCAGCCTCCAGGTGGTCCGTGTTGAGGCGGTGGCAGCAGGGGACGGACAGATAAAGGAGAGACACCACCCATTCAGTGCCCTGTGCCAGCAGGAGGAAGACAAGTGCCCTGGTGGGACCCAGGTCACATGGCCCATGGCCAGCTGAGCCCTCCAGGTTCCGGCCTGCAGTCCGGAAGGGCCGGTTCAATCTGGGTGGGAGCCTTCTTCCAAATGGATTTCATGCTGCAGAGAGAACAGGCCCGTCAGCTGAGCCGCTGGTCAGGCTTGGCGGCCAGATTGCAAGGGGCGCTTAGCCTGCGAACTGGGCCACATGTCTTTCCCACACTGGCTCGGCTGGAGGAGCTGTGTCGGCGGTGCCACGTCCCCTTCCCGCAGCAGCCCGGGGACGTGGAGGCTTCCCTCGGATCCAGCCCCCTGGCGCTGGGTTTCACTTGGCACGTCTGAGCCGAGTTCCTTTGCTGTGAGCTGGTAGCCAGCCAGACATGTCCACTCAGGTTGTGTTGCAGATCGTCTGTTCCCACAGACCCGCGTGTGGGCGTGTGTGCAAATGAACACATCCGTCCGCCTCTCCACCTACATACCTATCACCTCTGCCTGCCTGGCCGTCATCTGTCATCTCTGCCTACTGGTCAATCCACCCCCCTCCTCCTCCCACCCCTCCTCTTAGCGTAGAGAAGAGAGCTCAGTGAGAACCACGGTAACTCTGTCTACAAAGCACCCCCACAGTGTCGCTCCCCCGTGGGTGTCATCTCTTGTGTCACCCCCACACTGGTATCCT